CACATGAAATATACTCAATCTGACTCATAATTATAAATACACAAATTAAAATGATGAGATACCACTTTTATTACCATTACTGGAAAAAAAAAAGAAAAGAAATTTTTAGACTCCAGAACTGGCGATGGTGAATGAGAACAGGGAGTCTCATAGATAATGGGTGGGAGTACACACTGATCCAACCAAAGGGCTGCATAAAGAGATAGTGGTATATACATATAATGGAATAATATATTAGTATATAACCTTTAAAGATAATTTCAGTCTTATTTGCATTGGCAGGAATGTTCTCCAACATATATTATGTAAACAAAGCAAAGCATAGAACAGGGGGTATTATATTATCTTTTGGGGTTTAATTAAAAAGGAAATATATGCGTGTGATACATACCCATATACACATAGACTGTACATTTATGCATATACATATTTATTACATATGCACAGATAGGCTTTATGTTTTATAACCTTATGATGTTTTAAGACACTCATGTCTTTCTTTTATTTAAAAATGTTATCAATGGGGGCACTGATTAAGCGTCTGCCTTCAGCTCAGGGAATGATCCCAAGGTCCTGGGATCAAGTCCCACATCAGGCTCCTTGTTCAGCAAGGAGTCTGCTTCTCCCTCTGCCTGCCACTCCCCCTTCTTATGCTCTCTTTCTCTGACAAATAAATAAAATATTTTAAAAAATATTATCAAGAACTATCTAGGTAGCAGGATAATAGGTTGCTTTAATTTTATTTTTTTCTAAATTCTATATATATATATATACACACATATATATATTACATTCTTTGTGCTATTTTCATATTACACTGCTGTTATAGAAAAATAGGGCAAAATACAATTTTTAAAAATTTACAGCGGTTACATATGCTTACTTAAATGATCCAGAAGTAATAAGTAGAGTCCTGCCATATGGGATAGTGTGTTCTCTGTGATGTTCCCAGAAGCTGTCCAATGCAGTGGGCCAGCTCCACTAAACCCTCACCCCCATTCTCAAATAGATAACTACTCTTAAACTTGGGTGTATAGCCTACCAGAATTTTTTCTATCTTATATGTATAAACAGATAGCTAAGGGTCTTTGTAAGTAATTATGGGATCATTTTGCAATTTACTTTTTCTCTTAGTAATAAATCACTGTCATCTTTCTGTTCTGAACACTGAGATCCAAGTCATTATTTTTAATAAATACATGGTCTCCTACAGAATGGCCTTCCATATTTTATCAGTCTCTACTGATGGAATTTAGGTTGTTTCTGATCTTTTCTATACAAATAATGCTGCAAGAAATTACAGCATGGCTTTAAAAAAATTTGTTTGCTTTTAGCTATCTGATTAAAGAAATACATAATTCCTAGGTTAAGTATTTGGTGAATTATAAAAGTTGAGATTTCATTAGCTTCATCAGGCATAAGAGGTCTTACTTCTATAAACTTGTGAAGTGATTCTGGACAAACTGACCCACCTAAAAGCTAAGAAAATATAATTCACCAAATTACTTAGTGTCCTGAAAATGTGAGTATTTCCCTGAGGTGCCAAAATTATTCAACAAGAAGAGCACACTCCTCTTTCTAAATAACACCAGCTTTTCAGGACACATCGTCAAACATGGACCAGAACTTTTCAGTTTTAGCCCCATATACCCTGCGTTTCAGCTTCCTCAGAATATGCAAATAAGTCCAGCACTCTTCTTATCAAGGCCTTGGCCTGGGCTGCTTCCCTTTCAGGAGAGAAAATCAGTTTACCTCTCTGCCCTGAGGGACTTCATCTTTCAAGGTCCCAACAGCCACTGAAGGACCCCTCAACCCCACCCTGATTAATCACTTCTTAGTTCAATGCTCCCAACACCCCCTGGCTTACTACCCTGTAGGCAGTGATATAATAAATTACACTTATTTATGTATATGCACATGTATGTGTGTACAAGGTTGGAAAATTCTTGAGGATAAGTGTAGATGATTTTTACAACTTTGTATCTCTTACCCATAGAGTAAGTACTAAATAGTAATGACTACATCTTTTCCTTTGAGAAAAATATTTTAAATGAATACACTAAGAAACTGTTTTTACTGATTAAATTAGTAAATGTTAACAAAAGTTATATCTCATAGACTGCTGATGGGTTATTTGGCAATCTGTATCTAAAACTTTAAATATACATACAACTCTTTCCACTTCAAAGAATTCATCTTCAGGAAGTGATCACGAGTATTTCCAAAGCTTTACATTTAAGGTTCCTAGGCACAATATTTTTTATAAGAAAAAAATGGAAATGACTTCCATGTTTATCAATAACTGAAGTATGGATAATACATAAAATGGATTGCAGCTATAAAAATATTTCATGACATGGAAAAATATTGTCTATTAAGTGGGAAAAAAATTAACTCTCTGAAGTAATGAGTCCAAATGACTATGTACAGTAAGATCTATTTAATTAAAATAGAAGAAATGAAATTGAAAGTAAAGAGACCAACATAGCAACAGAGCTCTCTCTGGGTGGTGGATTTATGGATGACCCTTTTGTTCTTTGTGCTAGAAGAATCTCTTTCTGATACATATACTATCTATTTTGCCTTTTTTTAAATTAAAGATTTTATGTATTTTTTTGAGAGAGGAAGTGCATGGGCATATGAGCAGGGGGAGGAGCAGAGGGGGAGGGAGAGGGAGGAGAAAGAATCTCGAGCAGACTCCATGCTGAGTGTGGAGCCCAACTTGGGGCTCCATCTCATGACCCTGAGATGATGACCTGAGCCTAAACCAAGATTTGGATGCTTAACCAACTGAGCCACACAGGTGCCCCTATTTTGCCTTTTACAGAATAAAACCTACCAAACATATTTGTGGAATAAATAAATCCATATTATCTTTCTTTGGCCATATAAAAATCTGAGATCTATATCAACAATTTACTTCCCCCCCCCCCCCCCCGAAAATGCTGGCGTGCAAGGCTGCGGAGTTTCATTTTGAACTTTTTCCTATGGAATCAATATAGACTATCAATGTTCTAGGGAACAGGGACACTGTAGATTTCCTACTCTGCGGGCTCAGCACATAAATGTTCAGAGCTGAATGTGGGAGGTTAGTTACGCAGATGAAATAAGAACAACACACTGTGTAAGTCAAGAGGCTGTAAAGAAAATCAGAAAGTGAGAAAAAGACAGTTCTCATATTCTTATGTTGTTCTCCTCAGGTAAGTCCCTTAAGTAAATGCTCATGGTGTCTGCCCTTGGTTTCCTCACACATAAAAGAAATGACTGAAAATTCTGAATATACAGTTTTGGAATGTCAAGTGGAGGTTAAGATGTAAACTGTGGAGTCCCACCCATGATACCATAGTACAGAAATTTTAAAGGCTTCTGATAAGAAGTAAGTGACTACGGTGACATGTCAGGGAAAAAAATATGCGAGACTATTTTTAAAGAGATTAATCTGAATCAGTACATGCACAAATACTGACACTGGGAATGGGCTGCACTATAAATACAGATATTTCTTCAACACAGACCTACATACATGCATAGTCCTTCTCCACAACTTTCAGACTCTACGGAGAGTGCTTGACACAAAGTAGGAACTGGACAAATTATTTCTTTCCCTTTTCTATTCCAACTGCCCACTTCCCTGGAATGAATTAGAGAGTTCCATACTGAAAAGTAACCCATGCAGAGGGAAAACCTGTAAGTCTTCCACCGTAATTGTTTATACAACCACACACTGCCTACTTTCTAAGCTCAAGTATGTGGAACATGGTGTAATTCATCTGCTGATGCTCCTAAAGACATACTGTAGGTTTTTCCTGTCTCTATTCTTATCCACTTATCCAGCCTGACAGCATCCCACCAGCCTCTTTTTTATGCTTTTATATCAGCTACAGTATGTTCTGGCTTCTAATATAGGCTTTCTTTTTAAATGAAAAGCAGAAGAAGAGGAGGAGGAAGGAGTCTTTATTCTGGATTTGGTAACTGAAAAAACCCTCATGGTTCACATCTCTTGAATCTGCAATCGGGTTGTTAAAGCTGAGGATCAGAGAACATCTGCCCTCCAGAGATGCAAGCATTATTAAAAAAAACAAAAACAAAAAAAACACACACAAAATAACCCCAAATTCCCCAAACGAAACTGTGATGTGTCCCAGCATGCTACAGAAATTATATCTGTATCGATAGTACACATACTTGTGTGCACGCATTTCTGAGCCTTGCTATGTCATATACTGTAATGATGAGTACTTCACAAGAATGCTATGAGGGAGGTACTAGGAACATCTTCACTTTTTAGGCCTGGGAATGAAGGTGTGAGAGGTTGTCACTGTCCCGAGGTCACCCAGGCAGGAGTAGAGAGTTAGAATTTGCATCCTTGGTTAATTTGACATAATCACTCGGTTTCCTTAGGGTTCAACAGACTGAGAATACAGAAGATCTTAATCTTCTTTTAATGTTCTTGGCTTAACTGATGGTTATAAAAAGTTAATATGTTTGGTTATAAGCAAAATCCTATGACTTGGTCCAGGTTTTGATTTCTCCCATCGATTACCTTAGTAAAACCAAAGGGAGTCTTATGTGGATGGATGACTGGGACTTTTTTGTGAAATTGAACTCGCTAGTGGATTTGGAAGAAAATCCAGCCGTGTTGATGTCTGAGTTCAATTTAAAATTTTTAGGGATACCAAATGATATCTATGGGTTCCATTTTACTTACGTCTTTTCTCTCTTTGGATGACGGTGTAAGGAAATCCTTCACAAACATATTTGTAAACATTGATAAACCATATAAAATTACAGTATTTTAAAAGAAGAAAGAACCTTAAAGATAATCCAGTCTTGCCCTTTCTTTTCTTCCTAGGAAATCTGAAGTTACTATCTATCCTTGATTTCTTCAAGGCTACAAGGATTGGCAGCACTGGTAGGAATAGACTTTTTTTTTTTAACCATTGGTGAAATATTTTATAATCCTATAATTTAGGACTTTTGTACTCAGATGTTTAACTTACCTCCAAATCCATCAGGCACATATGTTTTAAGAACAATATTGCAGAAAATTGTTGGCAATGATAATGGTTTATTTCCCTCATTTCGAAGGGAAATGTGTCGATAGCCTGCTTGGAGGCCATCCAGTGGAAGAATCCTCTGGCCTATCAGCCTGTTGTTGTCATCATATACTGCTATTCTCAAGACTGCCAGGTCAGGGAGGATTACCTGCAAACAAAGAATGGTACCTTTCATGGGTATTTTGGAAAGCAGCTCCCAAGAGCCCTGATTCTGGGAATCTGAACCACATCCACACCGTTCTTCAATGTGCCTTTATGGTGAAAGTGGCCCATGATCGATTTGCATTCCTAAAGTATACTGTCCAAGCTGCAGTGTTCAAGCCATTGAGAAAGCAATCGAATAGGCTTCCTGGAAATCATCTCCTTGAAAATTTTAGATGAAAGGGATGTGAAAGATTACTGGTCCAACCCTTGTCATCTCTGCCCATCCCCATGCGTATAATGGACAAACAAAAGGAGACCCCGAGAGATCAAGTGACTTTCCTTAGTCTCTGAGAGATCGGGACAGCTGGGCCTGGAATCGGGGCTCTTGCCTTTGAATCCTGTGGTCTGCCTCCTACCTGGGCTGCTTCTGATATCTAGCTCAGCCTGTTTTTAAGAATATGGAAAGTATCTTTGAAGATACTTTGTGTATAAAGGAAAATGTATATGGAAATTTGGATTCTCCCTTTTTCTTGCACTCCTCAGTTTTTAATCTATTTTTGGGATATTAAATACAGTGAGAATGGCAGCTAGAAACATTAACTTATACCCAAGACATCTACCCTTGCCATCTTCAAAAGGAATAAATGGACATAAAATCTGAGCTCAGGCAGCAGAATCCTAATTCAGATATAAAATAACAACAGGACACAAGAAAATCCAATGTTTTAAATCAGAAATGACTTCTCATTGGCTAAGAACAACCAAGACATCTTGGCTAATTTGAGTACTGTATCTAAGGCTAGACAATGGATCGGTTGCCTAGCTATGTCTAGAGATTATAATTTAATCCAATTTTGTGACAATGAAGAGGAGAAATCAAGTTAAAATTAATCCAATTTCATTTACTCTATTGTTTCTCATGTGGTAAAAGTGGGCTTGCCTTGTGAATTAGTGCAAAGAACAAAAATATTAAAAACAAGAGAGAATAAAAAGTGAAAGTACTTGGTACCAAAGAAAAGCAATTTAACTTCCGAAGAACAGTGAAGGATGCAGAACTGGCATCTTGTTTCTGGGGCCAGTAATACTATATGTAAAAACCAACTTTGATGTCTCCTTACTCGTCAAAAACAAAGAAGATCTGAAGTCAACTTTCTGAATTTTTAGAAATGTGTCTAGGGATTATTCGTTCTGCCAAGGAACACTGGCCACACTGACAACAGATCCAGTTATAACAAACTATAAAAAACCTGGGGGAAGAAAAAAGGCCCATGACAGCTATGTATGCAATTTACACCACACTCTGTAGGAGAAAAAGTCACAGTGGGGGTTGCATGGAAATAATGGTGTTCACATAACAGGGAGAGCCTGAATCTCACAATGGCTCGTTTCATTGAACTACTGATCTTCTGTAATCTGGTTTCTGTAAATCAGTTAGCCTATTCTGAAACTGCTAATCCTCATTTTTGTTAAGAAGCCAATGATCTGTGTTGCAGGACATATACATGGAGCAGAAACACCAGAAACCTGGTGCTTAAAGAAGCAGCAAGAAGCTGTTCTGGTTTGGATAACAGAGCAAGGGAGAGAGAAAAAATAGCTCTTCTTAGATACAGCACTACCAATGCATGGATTTTGCAATACATCTTACACTGACAAAAGAGAAAGGGAAAAAATGATTACAAGATTAAACACTGAATCGTTACAGAGTGTGACTGTGATTGGTCTGGGGATCAAGGTACAATAGTAGGAACCCCCCCCAAAACCCAAAATAGCACATGATGCACAGACTGTAGGGGTGGCAACAGGTACCACACTTTCTAGAGGCACAGGACAATCCAAACTGACCTATTTAAGGACATACACTGGCCTTAGTTTTGGGTGCACCATCCTACCTGATCTCTTGGCTAAGGGAGCATTGCAAGTTACCACCTGCTGCCAAAAGAACTCTCCAGTGTATGAGGATGTCCACCAGTGAGGACACATTCTAAGGAGATTGTCCACCTGGAACTTGAGCATTGCCACACACAAGGTGGGCTCCTTGGAAGAGGAAAGGAGAGCCAAAAGGACCAGAATAGAGAGAAGTCACAATCATATGATATCTATAGAACTTTCCATTGGAAGAAGAGAAAAAGAAGATATTTGGGGTTGCATAACTGCCCCTATATCGTGTAGGGTCTATGTAGTTTATGCACTAAAGTGTAGCCCCTAAGTTAGCACACGTTGAAAGTGCCCTACCTTCCGAAAAACAAATGATTCTTCATTGTAAACTGGATTGAGTCCGTTGTTCATCACCATGCGAGTTCGGAATTCCTTACGTATGGTGTCGGTGGGCAACCCGTACATATCCACTTCTACGTATGTACCAATTTTCTTATCTGATAAAAACTGACCTGATATGACCTGCAGCAACACAGAAACAGGGTGAGAGAGAAGTCATGTCTGCGTAGTTATCAAGAGCAATGAATAATCCAGAAGTAAGAAATCTTTTTTTTATTATGTTATGTTAATCACCATACATTACATCATTAGTTTTTGATGTAGTGTTCCATGATTCATTGTTTGTGTATAACACCCAGTGCTCCATGCAGTACGTGCCCTCCTTAATACCCATCACCAGGCTAACCCATTCCCCTAACCCCCTTCCCTCTAGAACCCTCAGTTTGTTTCTCAGAGTCTGTAGTCTCTCATGGTTCGTCTCCCCCTCCAATTTCCCCCCCTTCATTCAGAAGTAAGAAAATCTTCTGTTCATCTTTAGAAATTTTAATTACCTATGGAAATAATTTATTCATTCCTTACTAAAGTAAAACATTATTGAGCAACTACCCTATGCAAAAAAAAAACCCCAAACTGCTCAAGACAGAGGTTCTGATGTTGAGAACTGTCTATAAAAAGAAAGAAGAGGGGCGCCTGGGTGGCTCAGTTGGTTAAGCGACTGCCTTCGGCTCAGGTCATGATCCTGGAGTCCCGGGATCGAGTCCCGCATCGGGCTCCCTGCTCGGCGGGGAGTCTGCTTCTCCCTCCGACCCTCCCCCCTCTCATGCTCTCTATCTCATTCTCTCTCTCATATAAATAAATAAAATCTTAAAAAAAAAAAAAAGAAAGAAGAAAAAAAAATGATGAATCCTATAATACAAAGAAATAATGTCCACAGCTGCTTAATTCCACCTCAGTGCCCAGATCTATGAAACAAAGTGATGGGTTCAAATATGTCCTAAGATCCCATCAGAGCTCTGAAATTCTGCCCTCCCATACTTTACTGAATTCTTTTATAAGTCTTGGAAAGAGACTCACTGAAGAAACAAGTAATGCTAAAAATTGCCTGTTGCCTGTTATCCTTTACCAATATTGACAATGGTCGGTGGTATATATTTGTAAAGACCATTAAATTCCATCTATTATAAGCCATGGACAGACTATTTTTCATGTACTTTCCCAAGGACTATAGCCATTTTGCAGGGTTTTTTTTTTCCTGTGTTATTGAATAGATCATACTTTTGAAAGTTTTTTGAGATAAAATTTGACATACAATAAACTGTACGTTTTAGAGTGTACATAAGGTCAGTTTTGACATATGTGCACATCTGTGAAACTGTCATAGTTTTCACTTTTCCAGAATGTCATGTAGTTGGAACCATACAATATATAGTCTTTTCATTTGCTTCTTTCACTTAGTAATATGCACGTAAGTTTCCTCTATGCGTTTTCATGACTTGCTAGCTCATTTCTTGTCAGCACTGAATAATATCCCACTTTCTGGATGTGCCACAGTTAATGTATCCAGTCACCTAATGGAGGACATCTTGGTTGTACAATTTTTGGTAATTACGAATAAAGCTGCTATGAACATCTCTGTGTAGGTTTTTGTGTGGATGTAAGTTTTCTATTCATTTGGGTAAATACCAAGGAGCATGACTGCTGAATTACAGGATAAGAGCATGCTTCCGAAGGGGCTGCACCATTTTCCATTCCCACCAGCAATGAATGAGAGTTCCTATTGCTCCAAGTACGTTTTTGATCTGGTGTCTTTTGCTAAAAGTAGCTAATAAAACTATTAGCTATTTATTATTAGTGGATAAAACTATGTACCACTAGTGAATAAAATGTATCTCTTAAGAAAAAAAGGGGGAATCACAAAGTTGAGAGTAACACATGGATCTTATAACCTGACATTAAATATTTTAATGTGATTTCTTAAGGCTTCGCCAGGACCATCTGCACACACATTTTTACAATTCTCTGACAAGCAGGGGACTTACCTGCACTGAGCAAGTGGCTGCAATAACCCCATCGACAGGAGTTTCAGAGAAGGGATCGAATGTTCTATCGGGCCGTCTCATGAAATCTGGTTTGAGGAGGTATCTGGTGGGACAAAAGCATAGAAAGAGTTTATTAGCTGTGTTTATAATGACTAAAACACTCATGCTTCAGGACACTAAGTACTTCCTTTTCCCCATCTCTAATTTAGGAGCTAGGCTTTTAGGAAGAGGATTCTAAGGATTGAAGAAACTATTCCTTTCCTATGGATAATCTTGAAGAGAAGCAGGAAAGAAGGAATGTTTTTAGGATTCCAGGCTCAGTGACATCTACAGCTTCCTGATACTATTATATTCTCTTGAACTTTTTTATGCCATGGACCTCTTTAGATACTTACTCGGATATAAAATACAAAGAATAACAATGAAAAACCAATTACATGAGCTCTAGTTGTTAAAATATGGAGAGCACATGATATTCTACTTTATTGTGTTTTAATTACCGCATTGAATTATGAGATATGATGCCAAGTTGATAACTATAATTTCAAAGTACTGATATGCATAAAAATATTTTGTGAGATCTGTAACAGTAATAATGATATGAAAATATCTGTGATTTACATTGGTGTCAGAGTCACAGGTACTGTTACTATTACTGTGGATTGTTGTCTATGTTCACAGTCAAAAGAACCATGAAATATCAGTTAGAGGGAGGTGAACTTAAAGATGTAATTATTTCTCTATTTCTAGCCAGTGTAATTAGGCAAGAAAATGAAATAAAAGGTATTTAGATGGAAAGAAAGAAGTAAAACTTCTCTTCAGAGATGACATGATCTTGATATAGAATCTACTTAAGGAATCTACCTAAGGAGTCTACTGAAAAATGATCAGAGGGGAGCCTGGGTGGCTCAGTTGGCTGAGTGTCCGACTCTTGGTTTTGGCTCAGGTCATGATCTTATGGGTCATGAGATTGAACTCACACTGGGCTCCACGCTCAGTGGGGAGTCTGCTTGAAGACTCTCTCTCTCTACCCCTCCCCCCACTCATGCTCTCTTTCTAAAATCCTTCTAAAATCTAAAGAATAAATCTTTAAAAAAAACTGATCAGAACTAATAAATGAATTCAGTAAGGCTGCAGGATACAAAACCAATATACAAAAATCAACTGTATTTCTAAATACCAGCAATGAACAATCCAGAAATGAAATTAAGAAGATTCCATTTACCATAGCACCAAAAAGAATAAAATACTTAGGAATATATTTAACGAAATAAGTGCATGTACTTTGAAAGCTACAAGACACTGTTGAAAAATATTAAAGAATATCTAAGTACATGGAAAGACATCTTGTGTTCATGGATCAGAAGACTTAATATGGTTAAGATGGCACTATTCACCAAACTGATATACAGATTCAATCCCTATCCAGAGCCCAACTGGCTTCTTTAGAAATGGACAAGCTGATCCTAAAACTCAAGGACCAAGAATAGCCAAAACACCCTTGAACAAGAAAAACAAAGTTGAAGGTCTTATAATTCTCAATTTCAAAACTTCTACAAAGCAACTGGGAGTCCAGAAATAAATTCATGTATCTATGCTCAGTTGGTTTTTGACAAGGATGCCAAGATTATTCAAAGAGGGAAAGAATATTCTTTTAAACAAATGTTGCTAGGACAACTGTAATGGCCACATGCAAAAGAAGAAAACTGGCCCCTTCCCTCACTTCATATACAAACATTAACTCAAGATGGACCAAAGACTTAAATTAAGAGCCAAAATGATTAAATTCTTAGAAGAAAAAGGATAAATCTTCATGACTTGGTAATGGGTCTCAGACATAACATCAAAAGCATAAGCAACAAGAGGAAAAAAAAAAGATAAAGCTGGCCTTATCATAAAAACTTTTGCACTTCAATACATACTATTAAGACAGTGAAAACACAAGCCACAGAATGGGAGAAAATATTTGCAAATCATATACTATGTGATAAGAGGTTTGTGTCTACAGTATGTCAAAAACAAACAACCCAGTTAAAAAATGGGCAAGTGATCCAAATACACGTTTCTCCAAATAAGAGAAACAAATGGCCAATAAGGACATGAAAAGATGCTTGGTATCATTAGTTATCAGAGAAATGCAAATCCAAATCACAGTGAGATGTCACTACACACACATTAGGATGGCTATAGTAAAAAAGTCGGAAAACAGTAAGGGTCGACAAGGATGTAGGAAAATTGGAACCCTCATACATTGTTGGTGGGAATGTGAAATGACACAGTGCACTGGAAGACAGTCTGGCAGTTCCTCAAACAGTTAAACAGAGTTGTCATGTGACTCAGCAATTCCACTCTTAGTATATACCCAAGAAAAATGAAAATATACCTACACAAAAACTTACATGTGAATGTTAGAGTGGCATTATTCATAATAACCAAAAGATGGAAACAATCCAAATGCCTATCAACAGATGAATGGATATATAATATGTGGCATACCCATACAATGGGAAATTACTCAATAGAAAGAAATGAAGTACTGATATGTGCTACAACATAAATCTTGAAAGCATAATGCTAAGTGAAAAGCCAGTCACAAAAGATCACATACTACATGAATCCATTTCTATAAAATGCAGTATATACAAATATGGAGAGACAAAGAATAGATGGTGGTTGCTTACAGCTGTGAACAGGGAGCAGAGATACTGGGAGGTGATAGCTAAAGGGTATGAGTCTTCTATTTGAGGTAAGGAAAATGTTTTGAAATTGACCTAACTACACAATGTCTGCCCCTTATGCCCTTTGGTTATAGTCACATAATCAGACCTCAGCCAGATTCCATAACCACCCTGAACTTGTATCAGACAACTTCATCTAAGAATTTTTTTGTTACAAAGGACTATAACCACAAATAGAAAAATTCCATACTAATATGAGCAGCAGATAGGGGACAATAAAAGCACTTTCCCCAAAACTCAGGGTTTACTTTTAAGTGTAAAAGAATCAAAATTAGAGGGATCAAGTAAGTCTTTCCTATTATTTAGGAGCATAAACTTTTACTGACTTTAGCTCTAGATGATGTCAAAATTTATTATCTTTTAAAATCCAACCAGAAAGGATTCTGGGGCATGACATTTCTCCTTAAAGAAAAATTCCAAGTCACATTTTTGTGGTTTTGACAAAGTTGTCATTTGTTGCTATCTTCTAAGTTTGAACAAAAAAAGTGTTAAAGAAAATAACCCCACATTCAACTTAGATGTAATCATCAGTAAAGAACCTCCAAGGGAAAACACTGATTTTTAAATCAAGGATATAGTTTTCAGAATCATTCAAAGACTAAAGATGATTTTGAAATTTCACCTGTCTCCAAGAGAATGCAACCCTAAATAATAATTTAAAATCTCCCTAACTGCACAAAAGAGATGGTTTCCTATATTTACAGAGATTTGGGCCTTTTTTGTGGCTAGTGTTAGCCACTGGAAAATAGGATGATACAGCAAAAATTGAAGCCTTAGGATGGAAAGTAGATGAGAAACTACAATATTACACACACTACTTCAAATGAAGCCTACCAGCATTGGCAAAGTATGGGACGTTAGCTCCAAGCGGAGGTAATGGATGATGGTTCTGGCTGTCACAAGATAGGGAGCATTTGGGTTCCAGTCACATGGAATGAGGGATCCTGCCTCCTGAGAGCAGGAGGGGCAGGGGCTGTCTGGAGATTTGGACTCTCCATTCCTGGCAGACATTTCTGAAGGGACCCTTCTCATCAAAAATACAAAATTGTGATACTGAAGATTTCCTGGTGCCAAAAACATTCTTCCATGTTCCCTCCCTCCATATCAGCTTAGAAGAAAACTTATCTTTGAGAGAGTGAACTGATCCAAAATAAGAAGTACCAGGGGAAAGGGGCAAGAAACTGGAGTCCAGTTCCCAATACAGACAGCCTTCAGGTTTAATGCTCTGCAGCCACTGTCTCAAAATGCTTAAAAATTTGTGAACAAGGAGGCCTTCATTTTCATTTTGCACTGGGCCCTGCAAACTATGTAGCTGGTCCTGCCTGGTGTTTTTTTTGTACAGAAAATAAAAGCATTCCCAGCATCCAGGTCTGTGTGGTGGACGTGGGCAGAGTCCAAAGCCAATGACAAGTGAAGGGATCCAAGGATTTTCTGTGGCTTTGTAGGATCTCGGAAGGCAAGAGAGGAAGAGAAGAAGGGCCTTCAGCTAGGTGGGTGGACAGGAGCCATAAGAATCAGAGGATGGGGTCATAATAGGAAGGACAACCTATTTCATCACACCCAAGATGGCATGAATTGTTCGACACTCCATTATCTTCTTTACCAGCAGGAAAGCAAAATGGCTGATTAAAACTATAAGGTCATAGATTTCAAGACACATTGCAACCTGAGCAATTTCTACAAAAAGTGTGCATCGTTGAATCATAAAACATCCTACTATGTTGATATCAGCCACCCCAATTTCCTCTGAAAGTATGCAGACTTGAGAAATTAACTTGCTCTATCTTGTTTCATTAGGAATTACAGAAATGCCTCCCATTTTTATACCATTACAAAGGAGTCTGCCATAAACTACTGCTCACTTTCCTACTAAAAACCACACTTACTGAGCCCAGTGGCACGGCCTCTCAAAAGATCAGCCCAGAGAGCAGACAGGGATTCCCAGGTAGGTTCCCAATGTTTTACTAGCATTGATGGGTGTGCAGAGGGTGTCCATGTGCTTTGCAACGCTGATGTTCTCTATACAACAGCTACCATTTGCCACCCTAAGCCTAAAAGGTACAGAAGGCCTCTTTACAGATGCCCAGCCCTCAGACACGCCAACAAGGAGTTTTTAACAAGTCCCTGAAGCTGGGTGGGTGAACGACAAGGGCAATGCTGTGAAAGTCAGAGCGTCCTAGATGCCCTTGCTCCATGGAAATGCACCTGCGTGGCCAGCCCCGTATCTACCAGCTATGACCACTCCATCGTGGAGAGTGATGGGAACAGAGAAACACAGCTGAGGAAGATTTCTTCCCTCTTCCTGTAGGCAATGAACTTTGCCTCCAGGTGAGGAGAAGGGAAGGGTGGGGGGATGGTGACACATGACTGAACACGACTGTCAATGCCTCTTCAAGGCGGGCTGCCCCACTGAACCATCCTATTTTTCTAGCCCCTCTGGCAGGACTTAGGTTTTTGGTCACACCACTCAAACACTTCAGCATGGATTTTTTTTTTTTTTAAGATTTTTTTTTAAATTTATTTATTTGAGAGAGAGAATGAGAGAGAGCACATGAGAGGGGGGAGGGTCAGATGGAGAAGCAGACTCCCTGCCGAGCAGGGAGCCCGATGCGGGACTCGATCCCGGGACTCCAGGATCATGACCTGAGCCGAAGGCAGTCGCTTAACCAACTGAGCCACCCAGGCGCCCACACTTCAGCATGGAATTCAGGCTCTGGTAGCACTGTCCTTGTCTGGGAACGTATTTTAAAATAAGCAATGGTGCATAAAGCGAGACACTGATCATGTGAACCAGGGCGTAATAGAAAGTCCTGCAAAGAAATGGAGTGCACGCATACAACTCCTGTTGGGACCTCTTGATCTGGAAACAGTTCCCCTCCCTGTGGAAGTACTGGCTGTAGGACAGCTGAGGCAAAGAAGGCAAACTTTAGTGTCACTGGGCCACACAGAAGGCTCTGAGGAGGGAGCCCCGCCAGGGCTGGTGTGTCTGGTATGAACCATGAAGGCTGGGCTTCAGCCTTGAGCTTTCATCCCCACACCACCGCTGTCCCCTGCAGCCTTGCTGCCTCAGCTTGCCCGGGGGGCCCATCCATCAATTTATGTGCACCATCTTCTGGTGATGAACACTGTGCATTAAACAACAGAGCTTTAAAAAATTCTAAAATGTGGGCATGCCTGGGTGGCTCAGTCGGCTGAGCGTCTGCCTTCAGCTCAGGTCATGATCCCAGGGTCCCACATAGGGCTCCCTGCTCAGCAGGGAGTCTGCTTCTCCCTCTGCCCCTCCTCTCTGCTTGCATGCTCGCTCTCTCTCAATCTCTCTCTCTCAAATAAAATCTTTTTAAAAATTCTAAAATGTGTATTTAGCGGTTTTCTTTTGAACTACGTAGTTTTTACTTCTTTCTGTAATTGACATATAACATATTAGTTTACGGTGTATGATTTTAATTTCTCTCAAAGCACACAGCAGAGGAAAACATAACATATGTGCCAGCTATGTGTGCGGTGGGTCACTCATGGGTGGAGGTGCATGGGCAGAGAACCATCCGGCAGGAGGAAGGGGGGTGAGTGTGCACTCCGAACCCACGACTGCTGAAAAATTATTTTGACTGGCTGTTTTTAGTGATAAAAATGAGGTATTCAACCAGGGAGGCCAAGAATTTCCTGACAGTAGTATTATGGATGGGACGGCACTCCAGTGGATTAATTTAGAGGCTTGGGGACAGACGCATGGAGAAAAAAATGGCCACACCGGTTTTTCCTCTACAGAATTTAATGTCACATTTTCATTTAACCTTTCCACGTTCCACATTATGAAATTAGGAAATTAACATTTCCTATTTCACTCCCTCATTCACAGATTTTAAAGAATGCCAGTTAAGTAAACTAGAACAATATTCATAGCATTATTTTTTGATAACTGCTATTTACAAGACACGCAAAAGAATCATGACAGGACAAAGCTTTCTTCCTAGGTGTATTACATTCAAATTGACCCTCATAACTTCATTACATACTAAATCAACTTCATTCCTCTATTCGTCTTAGGCAAAATACATATATTTATTATCTATGTTTCCAGTTAATGTCCAAATGATCAGGGATCGTTATCTGTCTTAGCTATAAAAACCCTTGAATTTAAAGCGAGAGAATTAAACTCTAGAGTGTGTATGATAAACTGCTTAACTTATAGTCAATTTTTTTTTTTTTTTTTTGGAAAATTCTGCTTAGCAAACCGGGTAGATGAAGAATGTATACTTGCAAATATAATCTATCTAGGGATTTCAATTGTTTCTTCTCCCATCCCTCAAACTCAGCTTAAATTGAGCAGCCCCCTAATTAAAAATGACACAGTTTCATTATAGCTGTAGTAATGGAGTTCAGGAACACAGTGACAACAGTTTAAATCATATTACTCACCCGCATGATCCATTATACTCAAATTTTCCCTGATTCAATTGCATCGCTAAATCTGTCAAGAGACAAAAATAATTTAGCATCTCATCTCCCTGGACAAGGAAGACCACTATGGGTGATTTTAAACAATGGAAATCAGATACTGATCCTAGGCTGAAAGGTCCTTTTTAACGGGGTCTGTTGAGAGCACATAACTCTCTTCCCTGTTGAAATCATCTCGTGCTGAAGTCAAACATAAATGTGTTTTCATAAAGATCATGCTAGAATTGCTTTAAAAATTGGATTCAACATATGAGTCAAATGATTGTTCAATTAGTGTTGAGAGTATAGATGTCCAACTGGGGAGAACGAGCCTTATGTTCACAGAGGAAGGGTAGGCTGGGGATATCCAGTATGGTCACAGGAGTACAAACTTGATTAAAAACAATAAAAAATAAACTAGGTAGTATCATGGAAAAATTAGTGGCTTGTTCCTACTTTTAGACTTAGGGAGTATTCTTCTAGGGAGGTCTACACTGGCAGGGCATGGTTTATGATTTTTCTCTCCCAAGTGGATACAATCTTCTCTTTTTTCATTAGCAAAAGGAAAAAAAAAAAAAAAAGAACAAGCTGGTAGATTTTTTTTTTTTTCCTTCTTCAACATGTTGTGGTTGATCCTAATGTTATAGAATAAAACATAAGCTGACCTAGTGAATAAACTGGTTTAGGATCATTTAATCCATATAATGGATGGACAACTGAAAATACAACTTGACCTCCCATCCCTCCCTTTTTTTTTTTAAAGTAAAATCAGCAGTACCCTTTTATTTGGTTTCTGCTAGAAATACTATGGGATTGTACTGATATCTGGCCATAGTTCAGTATAGCAAGGACTGATGTGGATGCTGTGCAGACATTTGACTCCAGCTTCTGGTCCCTTAGAAGGAGCCACCAAGGGGAGGGAAGTACAGTCAAGCCCACATTCATGGCAAAGGGATGGAAGTCAAAAGACCTTTCAGTCAGTCCAGATAATAGGGAACAAGGTGGATGGAAACTCTCAAAGTATGGTGGATGGACTAGAAAAGGAAAATGCCCTCCCAAATCAGGAAACACGGGAGGCACCCCTCATATAGCAAAGGACTGAACAAGAAAAGGTTTTTATTTTGCTTTGTTTTGCCAATTTTAAGGACCAGGCTATGGAATTAACCACAGCACATGAATCGGTTTTGTGGCATATTTCTTACCTCTTTTAGGTAAATAACTAGAGCCCAGTATTTTTCTACCTCTAATCTTAAAATTGTGATCCTTGGCTCTTAAACAGACTTTAAAAACTTAAAAATGAAATTGTTTATACATTTTAAAAATTTACTCCTCTCCTTCCAGGGAGGGGAAAAGATCATATATTGGAAGCCTGCCTTTGAGTACACTTTGGAGGACCAAGTTATGGATTAGTGCCTCTAAGAATATATAAATCCTTACATACCGTTTTAGTGGAGTCTACTCTAGAATATTCCGTACTTTTATGATGAGGTGCTGTGTTACTGATACCCACTGAATGTTAACAGGGGGAGGGTACTCTCTAAAGGAGAAATGAGTCATAGTTACTGTACAGAGATATTCAAATTTTTTCTCATTTAATTCCGTCTCTGGAAACAAAGATAAGTTTGATCCAAAAAGAAGAAAAATTAGAAATATTTTGGAAAAGGGGACAATGTTTGGCAGATTAGTTGTGGTATTTATGAGAGGAAATTCAATTTAAATCAAAATATTTTGTCTTCCACCCTTTTTATGGCTCTATTTTTGGTTTTTCATGTCTCACCATTACATAAATCCAACATCACATTGTTTTGCCATATGTCTGCTTCCTTTAAAAAAAATGCCCACGGCCAACGGATGGCTACTGTTGGCACCATCCTGTCAAAGTGTTCTCCTGGAATTTGAGGTCACTGGCCATCAGTTCCTACCTGGGGTTTGATAGTTCAGTGAAACCATCTGGCAACCAGCATTCCAGAAAATCTGAGGCATGTAATTACTGGAATCGACCCGGCCTCCCTTGGGGTAAATGCGGCTCATTTGCCGTTTGTTATAACTGTGTAACTTATTAAGGAGAATGGGGGAAAAAAAGAGTATTCCAGAAGTAATAAATAAACAACAAAGGTCTAGACCGATAATGACAAATGCATAGAAAAAAGAGAGCAAATTTCACATTTACGAATGATGCTGAGGAGAAAAACCAGAGTTCACTGTGTAGACTATAAAAACAATTCACATTTGGGCAGATTTTCACAGTTGCTGTAGTCTTTCACACATATTATTTTATTAGCTCTACACCCACAATTATCTATTAGCCATTTATCTATTTTAGAGACTCCTGCCAAACCCAAAGTGCACCAGCCGTTCATTCCATTCACTACATAAGGATACTTCACAAATTCAATTGCGTGTGTCTTCAAGTAGCCCAGACCGACGGACTCGTTAAAAGAAGACATGTTATAATGGATATTGCGCTCTGGAAAGAAAAATAAAGATGCACTCAGCAACGCTCCCATCCAACCTTGTGGAAAGACAAGCAATAAATATAATTACATCCCAAATCATGAGGCTTTGGAGGCCGATGTTCTGTTATCATATTAGCAGCTCCTACTTTCATTAACGTCCTGTGGATAGAGACAGCTGACTTAAATAGTGATGGATTAAATTTGGAGTCATTAAACAAATTATGTATATATGTCCCACACAGCCACCCCTGAGATATGTATATATGATGACCGATGGTGGCTTCTCCAGCCCAAAAAATGATTATGAAAGTTTAAAAATACCGTACCCATTTTTGGAGGTTGCTTTTGATTAAAAGGGGTCTTACGAAAATACATCGAATGCAAGAAGCGATACTAAGCTCCCCTAGTGCTAAGAAATCCAGTCTTTCAGAGCCACCCTGTGGATGATGTAGGGAACGACAAGGCAATGTCTGCATGCCAAGGACACACGAGGCTACATGCATAGTCTGTGACGCAAAACAGGGTGAGATGGAACAGGGCCCGTGCCCAGAAAAGAAAAATGGGGACAAGTCAGATCACAGCTCATCAGCATAATAAAAGATAAGCAAACAAAAAAAAGGCAACAGAATTTAACCTTTGGTGTTACCTTCAGCCACATGGAAACCTTGGAACTTTACGGGCTGTGCATAGTTGATCATTGTAGACAAATATGGATGGATATTAGTGGTAGCACCTACATATTTATAAGATGCCATCCATGCCTGTTCATCTTCCACAGTAACCAGACCCTACAAACACAATGAAAGGAATATGTGTGTTGAGGACTTCGGTGGGACAGGTACATGCTACAGACATCCTCACTAAAGATGATGTGCACACATAGATTGAAAGATAAAGACCTTTTCTTCCTCAATTTTGCTACAGGATAATTTTAAAAGTTCCTGTCTAGAGGTGCCTGCCTGGCTCAGGTAGTAGAGCAAGAGACTCTTGATCTCAGGGTCATAAGTTCGAGCCACAAATTGTGCACGGAGCCTACTTAAAAAAAAAAAAAAAGTTCATGTCTATCATAGCCCCTAATAATATAAAAGGAGATAATAACAAAATATAAGCCTTCTCTTACATTTTTTTAAGATTGCCAAAGGACTTTAAAATAGTCAAGAAAGTATACTGAGGTTCACAGCAATCTATGGAAATGTATAGCAAGTATTATCATTTGTAATTTCATAAATTGCGGCACAAAATGGAAAAACAATTTCAGAGTGTATCAGAATCCCCTGGAGGGCTTGTTAAAACATACATTCTTGGACCTCATCCTCAGAGTTTCCGATGAAGTGAATGTGGGGGGAGGCCCAAGTATTTCCTTTCATCTAGCTCCTAAGTGCTAATGATGTGGCCGGTCTGGGGACCATACTTTGCTTAACACTGGTCTAGAATTTAAGCCACATACATAAGTAGTTTATGGTACTTTTTAAAAAAGCTTATTCTGAAAATAATCTGATAACCCACTACAGAGGACATGTCAAAATTGCATTATTTTACATAGAGGCAAATTATTTTGGTTTATTTCTTGGTAAATCGGAACGAAATAAACAACAAAAATAATACTTTCAAAAATGATCCACATTTTGTTGAGAGCTAACTTTGAAAACCCAATGAAGACTTACTTCATCGGAAAACTCAGAGGATGGGGTCTAAGAATGTATGTTTTAACAGGCCCTCCAGGGGATTCTGATACACACTGAAGTTGTTTTTCCACTTTGTGCCACTTTCCTGCATAGACTGATACAGGTGGATGAACCACTTAGTCCATTCCTATGGACTATTTATAGGAATGGACTAGTTTAAAAAAAATGGTCTGGCTGACTTATCCGATGATTTAACAATCTGAACATTCTAAATCCTCAAACTGATTTCACCAATAAAAACCTGAAATAATCAAATAATGTAACTTGTTTTTATTTTTAGTCATTTCTTTATATGTCCCGTCCACCTAAACAAGGGCAGAGGCCATGTCTGACTGCTTTCTTGGGTATTTAATGATGGTAAGTAACACCAGGACCATGTGCTAGGCACTGGTCTGAATTCCTGCATGCACAACTTCATTACTGCTAGTAATCATGTGGAGTAAGGATTAGAGTCCCACCCACTGACCATGTGAGAAGACTGGGGCCTTGAGGATTAAAGCAATTCGGTCACAGCTACTTAGCTAATACATAGCAGTGACCAAACACCAACCTCTGCTTTGTTGACCTCAATAGCTCCTGAAACTCTAGAAGAGCAGTTCATGAACATCATGGGAGGGATTGAGATCAGACTTATCCATAACTATTCCAAACTCACTATTTAGACAGTAAGAAGATAGGGTCTCATTCCAAATAAGACAGTGCCCCACAGACAGCCAGACATGATGTTCTGAAGCTCTGAAGAATGGGAGTCAAATTACAAGGCAAATTTCTGCCTGCGACGGCCACCAGTCTCAACACCATGATAAACCATTTGCATTTACTCAATAAAACCATTGGGGTATCATGAAGAATGTCAAAGAGGACAAAAGAAATTAAAAATTTAACTCAACTTATAATAAAGTCAATATCTAAGAACAGCAAATAAAAGTCCTAGAATGCCTGCAGTGTGAAATTAACTAATGATCTTTTAAAATGCCAGTGTAGTCGGAAACAAGACCACCTTCCTAGTATGCTGGGTCATCTGATGACCTATTAGGTCATTTTTATTTTCAAATTCAATGTGTTGATGATTACGCATTCCTATTATAGGAATGAAATCTCTAATGCCAACTAAGGGCCTGACTGCACTAAACACTTTTTTAAGGAGAAACATCTTATTCACCTGCCCTAGTTTTGTGATTTTTATCAGGATTTAATCACTTCATCACCGTGAATAATTCTTTCTTTTGAAGACTCTTGTAGTTAGATGCATTAAGCATGTGAATATGATAAACAGTAAGCCTGACATTCCATGGGGTGAGTGGGAGGGGGAGACAGAGGTAACATCATTTAATACAAACTGTTCAATATTAGAGGGGCACATATGGTATTTTGTAATGAAAACAAATTCCACCAGGTAATGATTTTCTTACCTTTTTGTTGATTTCATGTTCAAGGTCATCCGAAGCCTAAATTAGAGGAAGGTAATAATTTGTTTACTTCTCTAAAGGGTAAAATCCCAATTTTACTAGCCATATATATATAAATATTTAAATAAATATATGTAAGCTTGTTATTCTATTTATTTGTGAAGGTGGAAAATTATTGATGACATAAAGCCATCAACAAAATAAGTACTGGAAAGATACAACAGCCTGACTTACATACCAGAAAAATAAATCTTAATACTATCTCCCCTCCTTTGTTGTTAGTCTTTCCTATTTAGATGTTTCCTTATAGTAGTTTAATTATTTCATCATGGGGCCTGGAAAATAATTTGATGTGGCCACTTCTCCTGATCTGAAAAGGGCAGGCAAGCATGAATGGTTACTCGATTCAATACTCATGTGTGGGTACTGATAAAGGCTTTATGTGGTAAGGTAGCATTGAGGTAGGCACTGAGTCTTAGTAGGCATCCAAGAGTCTCCAAATAGTGGCAGTACTCTCTATCAGAAAAGGGAGGGTGTAATCTAAGTGTTCCTTAGGCTTTGCTTTTCAAACACTCTCCAATTTTCAGCTACTACCAAATGCATGCACCTCCTGGCATCTTCATCCACTGTCTTCAATGACTAAGAATCCCTGCACCCATCAAAGACCACACCCTCACATCACCATGGATACCATCCACTCTGACCTTCTCCAGGAACTCACAGGCAGTTATCCCTTCTCTCTCTTGCAAGATTCATCTCTCCCTCTCTACGGCACCATTTCCAAAAGTTTGCAAACACACTCTAGATTCATTCAGTCTAAAAATAACACTCCCTTGACTCCTCAGATTGCTATGGCTACCAGCCTATACCTTGCTTCCCTTTATAGCAAAACTTCTCAAAAGTATAGTCTCTACTCATTCACATCTGTCTGTTTCAGTGGCCCCCACCACACCATTGAAACTTCTCTTTTCAAGGTTATGAATGACCTCCATGTTGCCAGCAATGGACACTCTTGAGTCTTCTTAGTGAGTTTATCAACAGTGGTCAAAAACCAACCACTTTGCCAGGGGCCAGGAGGTGGGAGAAATGGGGAGGTGTTGGTCAAAGGGGACAAACATCTAGTTATTAAGAGCAGTACATTCCGGGGATCTAACAAATAGCATGGTGTCTATAGTTAACAACATTTTACTGTATACTTGAAAGTTACTCAGAGAACAGATCTTAAATGTTCTCACCACACACACACACACACACACACACACACATACACACACAGAGGTAATTATGAGGCAATGGATATGTTCATTAACCTTATTGAAATAATCATTTCATAATCTATCAAATCATCACCTATACATTTTCAACTTACACAATGTTATGTGTCAATTATATTTCAATTAAGCTGCAGGGAAAAAAGAAAAAACAAAAACCACCTTTCTTTTCATCTTCCCCCTGGTTTCTTGGCTTCCTTGATCTTCCTTCATCTATTTCCCTCCTACCTCTTGGGACATACCTTGCTCTTCTTTTCTGGCCTGCCTTCTCTGCCTCTACCCATGGATCATCTCACTTATTTTGATGGCTTTAAATCCTATCTCCTGAACTCCCAGTTTATATCTCCAGCCCCACCTCTCCTCTAATTCTAGATACAGGTGATGATGATGCTCACAACAATGGTGAAGATGAAAATGATAATAGAGCAGCAATAATGAATGCCTTAATGGGAATGACCATGTGCTAGGCACCATAGGAAGCTCTTTACATATTCTAGACCCAATGACTCTTCACAACGGACCAATGCAATAGGTATTATCATCTTCATTTTGCAGGTAAGAAAACCCATGCACTGGGAGCTTCAGTGACTTACCTGAGGTCACACAGGTAGGAAATGAAAGCAGCGTCATGGGTAAAGGCTACAGGTGCCTAGGTGGCCTGCCCCTGGAGTATCTCACTGGCATCAAAGATCCTGTCCCACTTGAGACACTGAGTTCTTTCTCTTCCAGTCTTCCCCACTGTCCACCCAGCTCCTCAGACTCAGACCCAGAGAGTCATCTCATTTTTCTCTTTCCTGCTTACTTGCCCACCTTCAGTCCATCAGCAAGTTGGATCATTTTTGTTTCCTCAGTAGACCTTGAACCCACTCAGTCCTGTTTCTACTGTCCGGTTTAAGCCTTGGGGGTCTGGCTAAGTGCAACAGTCTGGCCTAACCACTTTTCCCACGTCCACTCTTGCTCCCTTCTAACCAGTCTCCATACGGTCACATGTAGTGGTTTTTAAAAACTATCAGGCTGCATTGCTCCCTTCTTTAAACATTTTCAGTGGCTTCAGATTCCACTTGAATTAACATTTGAGTTTCTCATAGTAGCTTCCCAAATCCCGTATCATCTAGTTCCTACCTGCCTGTACAATCTCATCTTGTTTCCCTCTGCCCCTCACTCAGCCCACTCTGTTCAGTGTCTCTGTTGCTGTTATCTCATAGCTGGGCCCTTCCTCTACTTCTGTGCATGGCTGGTTCTTCTTTACCTTTGGGGTTCTGGTGTCCTTATTCCCTCAACCTCGTGATTCTCCATTTTAGCACTAGTTTTTAGTTTCATACTAGCACTTTCACAAATTGTAATTATATAGTTGACGGTTTATTGTCTGTTTCCTACTCCCTTCCAATAAACTCCCATCAGACTATAAGCTCCATGAGAGCAGAAACTAAGCCTGTTTTGATCTTTTTGGGGTTGTTATGGCCTAGACTATGCCTTGCACACAGTAGTACATAATGGCCATTTTTCTTGGCTAAACAGTTTGACGGATGGAAAAACTTTTATGTTTATTCTACATTAGGAGGGAGAGGAGATATCCAACTGGTGGGACTGGTTTCCTAATGAGGACTTGCTTGGGAGAATCGGGTGGGTCAACAGGCTAACCTCTGTCCCCAGGTTGCTGTTGTAATCTCATATTCACCTATAATAATGCAATAAATGATATTACTTAGAGGATACTGGACAAATAGGTGGTGGTCAACACTGGGCATGGCTAATGAGCAATTCAAATGTCTTTTCTAACTTATTATTGTGCATAGCTTGCATTAAGATACTGATTCTGGTCACCCAACGTAGAAAGGGAATTATAGGCTACTTTATTTTCTTGTAGTTGTCACATTTTTAAAATTCATAACTATTAGCTACTACTTCTTGACAATCATGAAAAAAGGGACACCGAGACTCTGACCTTCTTGACACTATTTGCAACAGCCTCCTTGTGACCCAAGTCATCAGCAGAAAGTTCATTTCCAAATTTGTATTCAGGGTGAGCTTCCTCCTCTTGGTCAGCTGTGTGAAAGACAAAAGGAAAATCCAGGAAGCCAAATTACTGCCCATTAGTCAGATCTTCTTCAGAACCTTGGGTGGAGCATGAACTCCTTCAGAAGGCAAGGAAGCTAAATGAAGATGGGAACATTTAAATAGGCAAACTTTTTCAAGTAAAACTCTCACTAGCTCTCAAGGCCAAGGAGCCCATCTTGTTAGCTGTTATTTCTCACGCATCTAGCATGATGTTTGACATGCGTGTTGCTTAATGCATTCTTCTTAAGTGAGTGATGATTTCCATCCCAGTACACTAACTGTAAAAATTAAAGCCTCAAGCACTCAGGAATATCTATGACTTACACAGGGTGTTTTGAGCTTCCCTGGGACTTAGGGAAAACACAAGGAAGATATGAGAAAAGGAAAATACACTTGATAATTTTAAAAAAGAGACTAAATATGTATTTGAATATCGCGGGCATAGTGACATGTGGCCGGGAGTGGTGTGACATAAAAGAGAAAGAGCTTGGGAGGACTGGACTGCACCTGTAAACCACCTGTCAACCCTGGCTTGGGTTTCAGAGACACAAGAATCATTCCTAGGGCTCATGCTAACTGGGAGGCTGGAAGTGAGTGCTAAATAAAGCTGATGCCCCAGGAGCATGGCCCAGGCTGTGAAAGGAGGCACAGGAGGACTCAGTCCACCAGTCCAGAAAGTGACAAGAACTCTAGATCTTCCTGAGGCTGGTATCATCCCAGGGCTGTCAGTGGACAAAGAAAGAATCACCCACATGCTGGTGTGAGATCTGGACTCCCATGATCCCCACTCTGCAAAAAGCTCCCAGGTTAGGATTTGCCTAAAAACTTGTCAAGATCAGGAGAAACCCATAGGCCTCAGGACAAGGCCAACACAAATTCACACTGTCACAACACAGGGAATGAGTGATCACTACTGGAAAAAACAGTGAAATAATTTCTGAGTATGGACTCCTGAGAGTGGGAAGTAGACCCTAAGAATTGGAAATTTTTTTTATGATGAAAAAAACTATTTCATCAGTTCTAAGATGCATTTTTTTTCACATAGTAGTATTTCTGATGTTGTAACATGCTCTTTTAATTGATGCTATTTTACAATTACTTGGAAGCATTTTCTTTCCTAGTTATTATAAAATAATGGTGTCTTTCAACTGATGGTGTCTTAGATTTGGAATTTCTTGAGGGATTGTTTTTTGCAAAGTGTTATTCCAGACATGGAAGAAAAGTGAGGCAAGACAGACAGACACCCTCCTGTTTTGAAACTGGTATTTTGATGGATGGATGAGTGGAGGTGGGTGATTACAAAGAGAAAAAAAAAAAGTAGGTCATATAGGCCTTTGGCAGGAAAAAAAGGATTTAAGGAGCTGGAATAGGTCTTTAAAAAACCTAGTCCAGTGTGTCCACTTTATAGATGAGGAAATAGAGTCAGAGATATGACTTACAAATCCAAGGTCACAGAGTAAGATATGGACCTAGATTTCTCTGGATTCTTAGCACAGTGCTCTTAACATGACACTGAGTTTCCATGACCACTGGATTTCTATGACCTATAGTCTGTAACCAAGATTTTGAAACTTCCCAACATTATTAGTAAATTTCCAGTTCATATATCTCTAATTCTAACCTGGCCAGCCAGATATAAACTACTTGAAGTCAAGGAACGTGTTCCATACAAGTGGTAGAGTCTTGACTTTAAAAAAGTTGTATGAAAAGGGGTGCCTGGGTGGCTTAGTTGGTTAAGTGTCTGACTCTTGGTTTTGGCTCAGGTCTTGATCTCGGGGTCCTGAGATCGAGCCCTGCATTGGGGTCCACACTCAGCATGGAGTCTGCTTGTCCCTCTCCCTCTGCTCCCCCACCTCTCTCTCTCTCTTGCATGTGTGCTCTCTCTCAAATAAATAAATAATCTTTTAAAAAGAAAAAGAGTTGTATGAATGAATGTTGCCATCCCTTGATTGTGCAAGGATGCACAGACATACCCACAACCACAGTTTTGGCATTCCCCACTGCTTGTCACTACAGTCCTGGAAGCCACGTGTCCTTCTGAATCTAAATCCTGCCTAATGAATGGGCACATGCTTTCATTGACTAAGGGCTTTTCTATTTTCTACAGCCTCCAGGCAGGGTACCCTTTCGAGCTATGCTTGGTTTCCTCTTGCCTGCTGTGTTGAAGTATTTAGAGACTCTAGTCATTCATGTATAGTAGGATCGTACTGTGACACTGGGGTAATTATAGCCAACTGGTTGACCAGAATTAAGCCAGGCATCACTGAGGGAAACTAAGAATATGTAACTGGTAAAGCAGAAACCTGTATACACTTAAACAGAAATTCAAGTGGATGATTTTGTCCTCTCAGCTAATTTTCTACATGTATGCTATCCCACATGATTATTTCTGTTCTCACTGAACAACATGGGAGCCATCAGAGCCAAATATTTTGTAGGAATAATGAACATATGCATAAAAGGTGGGAAGTACCCTTAAGGATGATAAGTGGAATCACACTGACCCTCATCTTTGGTTAGTGTGTGTTCAAGAAATTTCACATCTTTGACTATCATCAGTTACATTTGTGTATTTGTGTTCCCTTTGTATTCCTGTATATTAGAAGGGCAGTATTGTAAGGTAAAAAAGGTCTTGAACCTGGAGTCAGGCAATTCTGGGATTGAATCTTAGTGCCCTTGTACACCAGCTGTGGGGTCATGTGCAGACTATGTTTACCTCTCTAAGCTTCAACTTCCTTTTCTGAAAAATGAGTGTAATGACACCTATTTCATTGGGCCATATAAAGATAAGGTGGTGATGCAAACTGCTTCGTTCACAGTTAGTACAGCAATGGTGGTTGCTATTCATATTATTATTTTCCTTGTTAATTCAGTCCAGTATTCTGCAGTTTGTTTTACTGGATTGTAGGATCTAATAACATCTAAAATGTTATAATATTCATCTTTTCAAATTTTTGAAGTATTTTATTGACCTTTTCAAATAATATTCCTTTCAGTATTTTATTCTTAAATCGTGTTTAGGTTTATTATTTGCAAAAAAAAACCCAAAAAAGTGAAATAATAGGCATCGTGGTTGACAGCATTTTCCAAAGACAGCTCCAATATCTGCTCTCCTACATGCTCTTCTAGAATGTGATCTTGCTACTCACCCACCCCCTCGAACCTGGGCGGGCCTTAATTTTGCTTTGATGAACAAAATATACAGGCAATGATGATGGGCCAGTTCTGGGCATAGTTCTTAAAGTAGTTTAGCAGCTTCCGCATTCTGCCTCTTGGAACACTGGCTCTCAGGTTGCTCCATCTAGAAACTTGGCCACCATGCTGTGAGAAGCCCAAACCACATGGACAGGACACATGGAGGTGCTCTGGTCCTCAGACCCTGCTGAGCTCCCCACGGCAACTGCCAGCCACAGGAGTGGGCCATCTGGGACAACCGACCCAACCAAACCTTCAGATGACTCTAGCTCTGGATGTCATCTGCCTGCAAATGCATGAGAAACTTGAGGGAGAAGCACCAGTGGGAGTCCAGATGCCCCCACAGAACTATGAGAGAAAGTAATAAAGTGGTTTTTTAAGCCTCTAGATTTTGGGGTGGTTACACAGTAATAGATCATTGTAACCGTCACCAATTAAATAACTCCAGGTATCTTCACCCTCCTAGACACTCCCTGCCATATACAACCTATGAAAGTAAGTCAGTATGCCTGTTCTCTGGGAGTGGAGTTGAACCCCTGGTTTGGACATGCAACACACACCATCATGGTGAAGTCTGTTCCATAGTGAGCCATCTTTATTAAGCCATTTTTATTATTGAGATTAGTTAATTCTCATAGCTTTCAGGTTTTCCCCTATAGTATCAAACTTTCCTAAAGTCTACTCGTATATTTCAGATGTTTATATAGTAAGTGAAGAGAGTTTCTGCTAGTGTTTCTACATTATTTAGCCCCAAACCACTACATAAATCCAAGGCACTGTCCAACCAGTAGACACAAAATGTAAAGCCAAGTCATTTTGCTAATCAATTTTCATACCACATAGTGGAGAAATAATTTTCTAAAACATTCCAAACCTTTCAAAAGACCCATTTAAAACCAAATATTATGGCTGTGGCTATATGGCCCAAGTAAAATAGAAGCTAGTAGCAAATATTCAAATATTTTAAGCAAGGCTACCTTTGCTAAAATTACCTACGTATATTGATAATTCTGGTGAGCTGGTTATTTGAAAGAATTTCAACTTGAAATTTTAATACTGGCTTTGAATTTCCAGTTCATTTGTGTGTGCACACAAACCCATCATTTACCTGAGGGTCCCTACTCATGTTCCTTTCCTTGTAACTTGCCTTAGTACTATCATCATTAACAACCTTGAAGTTTATGCTTTTGTTTATAGGAAGGGATTGCAAAATGTTCTTTTTATTCCAACCCCTTGCCTTCTACAGCAAGGATTCTCTGGCTGTGAATTTCTGCTGAGCAGCTGAATGCACAACAGGAAGGGAGATGATTAAGCCACAAAAATCTAGTGCCCAGGTAAACTGGAAGGAACATTTGGAAAAATACCAAAAAATACCAAAAGATTAAAGCTTGGTGCATGAATACACACTTGACTAATAAGAATTAAGCCATCACATTATATAAAAGAGTCCATGGAGACAAACTCATGTTTTTCTTATTTTAAGAAATATTTTTGTGGGGCGCCTGGCTGGCTCAGTTGGAGAGCATGCGACTCTTGATCTCGGGGTCATGGGTTTGAGCCCCACATTGGGTGTAGAGAGTACTTAAAGATAAACTTTTTTAAAAAAGTATTTTTGTGACACATAAATTAAAAGAAAACCAACTCACCACTTTCTATCTCCTCTTCATTATCATCCTCGAGGATGCTAACTGGAGTGGCAGATTCTCCAGCTTCCATCATGCTTTTCAAAGCCTCGAGCTGTTCTGTTATTCAAAACCAACAGGAAGGAGATGGTGACAGATGCTAGATGATTTGCAAAGCCGGAGTCCTAAGATCAACACTGAGAAGGGAATGTATTGTCTAAGCTCCTCATGGCTATGTTCCTAAGGCCACTGTCTCACCTGGACCTGCTGGCTGGACTTCTCACGGGACGTGCAACTGTCACATTGTCTACACTTGATGAAGGAACTATGGGAGTGTGGGTGAAATGCCCAAAGTTCTGGTCCTATGTTTGAGAGGAAGGCTCAGTCACTGAAAAGGATTTAGGCTTGGCGACAAAAGCCCATGGTTTGGAGACCGATGATATTAAAGTGATGTAAAAGACATGCACACTGGAGACTGACACAACTTCAGGACAAAAATGTCTGTGACTGATAGACCTGAGATTATTATCCTCTACAGAAAGCTCTTATACATCAGTAAGATCCACGAAAGAATTTTGAAAATGGAAAAAGATATAGAAGCATGTTATTGATAATGATATATCAAGAAACTACTTACTAAAAACATAACTATCAAAAAACCACAGTCCCGTTTTCCTTCTACCAGTCAGACACACACACATACAAGATGGCCAAATGCCAGCAGTAAGAATATCACTGGGAAACAGGCATTTTCCTGTATTTTGGTGAGAGTGTAAATTGGTACAATTTTTCTGACAGACAGTATAACAAGATGCATCACAATATAAAATGTATATATGCTTTGGCCAACCAACTTGAATTGCACCAACTGATTCCAAGGAGAAGCTGCGCAAACGTACAAAATGAACATTGACACAGGTTTATCACTGTTTTTACAGTAAAATGAAAATCCATCAATTTGGGACCAGCTAAATGGTAGCATATCCCACATAATAAATTCTGCAGTGTTTCATACATTAAAAGTTAGTATGTAGTAACTGTAGTAGGAATGTAAGTATATTCAATTGGTTGAATTAAAGATAATAAAAAAATCAGTATATTTAACATGATCCCAGTTTTATCAAAAATGTATGTCTAAACATGTAGCTATAGTACATGTATCTATGTGTAAAATATATAACTCAGTGCTATTTTATTATTTTCTTATATTTTTCTTTGTTGTTTTCATTTTCCTATGGTATTCCTTCTGTAATAAATAATAATTACTATAATTTAAAACTTAGATAAAGAAGATGCAGTATATATATATATATATATACACACACACACACACACACACACACACACAATGGAATACTACTCAGCCATCAAAAGATGAAATCTTGCCATTTGCAACGACGTGCATAGAACCAGAGTGTATTATGCTAAGTGAAATCAGTCAGAGAAAGGTTATTACCATATGATCTCACTGATATGTGGAATTTAAGAAACATAACAGAGGAGTATAGGGGAAGGGAGGGAAAAATGAAACAAGATGAAATCAGAGAGGGAGGCCAACCATAAGAGACTCTTAATCATAGGAAACAAACTGAGGATTGCTGGAGGGGACAGGTGTGGGGATAGGGTAACTGGGTGATGGACATTAAGGAGGGCAAGTGATGTAATGAGCACTGGGTGTCATATAAGACTGACGCCTCACTGAACTCTACCTCTGAAACTAATAATACACTATACGTTAATTAATTGAATTTAAATTCAAAAAAATAAAACTTAGAATACCTAGGGTAAAAACACAATGTAATCATACCAATATTTAATGCTACCAATTCATTGAATTAAGAGATTGGCCGAAAGGAAATATTTTCAAAAAAAATCTCCAGGGAAAATATAAAATCATTTCTCTCTCTCCACACATATACACATTCACACATTCACCTAGGATCCCTAGATATGTGTATCTCACAAAGGCAAACTGCAAAAGGAAGGCTTTTAAGAGGACTTTAAAGCATACTAAATGATAAAACGCTGGTTCCTTCTATCTTGATAAATTCTATAGTTCCTCTTTCACTTTCTTCTCATTTTGCCTTGGGATCATTCCAAATCCTGTATCCTATGAATATATGAATATGTTTTTCCCACTGCAAGAACCTACACTTAAATGTCAATGTGGCCACTTCACTCTGAAAAGTATATGCAACACTGCTATGCTCCCTTCCTCCCCCACATCAGTGGTTTTAAAATAGATTTCATTTTAGACAGCTGAATTGTCCAAACACACAATGAGTGTATGCTTCATCATTGGTGTGTGTCTTTGACTTACTTTTTTCAACCTCAGGTTTCAGCCGTTTATTTTTGATGAGTATTTTTCTTTTGAGGTCATTGGGGGATGGTAAGGGCCTGCCTGGTTCAAGCTAGAGATAAACAGAAAAGGCTGAATTAATGATGTGCTTCTTCTGTTTCATTCCCAGCCCAGAGCATGGAGGCCTGTTATACAGCCCAACATCCACTAGATGGCAGTCCGCATAGTTTTATGTTTTCATTCCCCAACCCCAATCAGCCTACTGCATGCAACTCTGCCTTAGACTGCAAACTTGACATCCACAGTCTCCCAGAGCTATGCAGAGCCACTCTACCTTCCCCAGCGGGAGCTGGGTCTGACCTGGGGTGCTGTTGGGGGAGGGCTCCTGCTCAACTTCAGGTCTTGCTCCTTTTATATATTGGGTAAAGTATAAGGGGTCATTGTGATAGCTAAGGTCAGAACTGCTTTCCCAGGCAGAAGTCAAGGGCTCCCCTGATCCCCCCAAGTGTTCAGCTGTGTTAGGAAGCCTGTTTACTCAGTAGGCTGATGTAACCCCAATACTTGGGATTGTGTTTTGTAGGTTCAGTAAGAGAATCAAGAAGGGAGTGGTCAATTACTGAAACCTGACCTCTACTGTGGTTTCGTTTGCTTGGATTTATGTCTGCAAAAGCGAAGTCCTTTATTCTATTACCTCTGACCCATGCAACTATGCCATATCTAGCCACCCATTCCCCATTGTCCCATGCATCCATGTATGCCCCCACCCACCCAACCACCCACCTATCTTTTCCATGCATCCATTCATTTTTTCCCAAAAGTAATCCTTTTACTACTTATTACATGCAAAGCACTGTGCATTCCTATGTCTGTGTTGCCTCAAAGCTCTTGCCAAAATTCTGCTTCCTTCCAAAGCCTGCTGTAACTGGTTCATTCTCCAGTGATCTCTCTTGAACCTGGCTATCTCTAGTAAGTATTCAATAGGTCACAGGCCATCTTCCTTTGTAGCTATAGTTTTACCTGTGTGTTCTGTGTCTCCCCCACAGCCCCCCTCAAGACTGAAAGCTTTTTACTTCAGGGAGGTCTTACTCCCATGTGTATTCATCTACCCTCCCTACAACACTTATCATGTACGTGCATATCACTCTACGAAACATACCAGGGTCTTTCCACAGAAGCAAGCACCTTAGCCCAGTCGGAAAAGCAAACAGAGGGCCTAAGTAAAACTAAAATTAAAAAATCAGGGCCGTTTCTTAGTCTGGGTTCCCTCAGAATCAGTCTCTGAGACAAGGATGTGAATAGTCCCATAGTCTATTTGGGCAGCAGCCTCAGGAATGTCCAACAGGGGGTGGGAAAGTGAGAAAAAGAAGGCAAGCAGCCAACCCCAAGGGGGTGTTATCAGACAAGTTATCACCGAGGGGGCAGGCATGTGGTCCGGCTGGGGAGCCTGACTGCTCTGGAGCTGTTCCTCCTGCCGAATGAGAGGGCCAAGGGAGAGGGGTGTGAGCTCTCCAGCACTTCTGGCCTGTCTTTCGCATATGGGCAGAGCAGGCTCCGGGGACCAGAGCACCCCACCTCACAGGAAAAGCTTCAGGCACTGGCAGCCAAAAGTCAGGCCAGCGTGCAGGGAAAACAGGGAATGCTGCACGGACAGGGGCAGGGAGCCTGCAGCATGGCATCCATAGGCTGAAGACAATCGGGGGTGGGTGCAAAGGATGCAAATATCCTTGTGTCCTAGATTTTTTTTCCAGTTTTTTTTTTTTTTTTTTTTTTTTTTTTTTTACTACTGCAAAGTACTTTATACTTAATCCCGTTAGCTCTCTTACTACTCATAACATCTTGGCACAGTGGATCTTCACCACTTGGAGGTTATGGATCCTTGCAAAAATGTGATGAACTCTCTGGAATAATTATATACAAAAAAAAAAAATGGTACGCAATTAGAATGAGGTCACAGACCTCACAAAGCCTATCTGTGGGCCACAGGTTAAAAGTTCTTTGCTGTATGAAGCAATTTGCGGGTGTAAAAATGAAGCTCAAAAAAATGGATGTATAATATTTTCCAAGTATTTGGGTTTTTTTCGTTTTTTTTTTTTTTTTTTTAGAGACTTTATTTATTTGACAGAGAGAGACAGCACGCATACAGGTGCATGCACGAGTGTGGGGGGGAGGCTCTCGGGCAGACTCTGCACTGGGTGTGGAGGCCAACATGGGGGTCCATCTCACGACCCCGAGATAATGACCTGAGCCAAAACCAAGAGTCGGACACTCAACCGACTGAGCCACCCAGGCACCCCCAATATTTGTTTTGGAGTTGGGAGCCTGAACTTCAGGCTCCTGTGACTTCAGTTTAGGGGACTTCTCACAGCAATGGGCTCCCATGGGTGCTGAACCCTATGTGCACATTTGATTCACATGGAGGGTTTTTTAAAAACACCATGCTCAGGCCTTACTCAGATCAATTAACTCAGAATTTCTGAGTGGGGCCCTGGCAAAGGTATTTTTAATAGTCCTTGTAGATGATTCTATCATACAATTGTTGAGAACAAATGCTGAGTATAGACTCCTGGCCACTGGGCATTTTATAAAACTTTACAACTGAGATTCAAAAACCATAAAGACCTCGAGACCTTCTAAATTAAATTGAACCAGATGTTTATTTTATGTTTCTCTACACATCTGTCCGAAGCACGAAAGCTTTCCATACCAATGAATTTAAATAAATATGAAGATCTTTAGTCCTCTAGCACTACTTGACCCTTTAGAAATGAATTTCAAAACAAATCCATTCAGGTTAGAAATATGGTTTGCTAAAAATACATACTGGATGTGATTCAAGTGCTTGTTTCAACAGGAGATCCCCAAATAGATCTTCGCAATATTTGGACATCTTGTACTGTTGATATTTGCTGGAGAGAGAGAACACTGGCATTTGTAAATTCAAACATCCATTAACCGTCCAAGAATAAGAAACATCCATTCCTAGGTGATTAAAAACTCCCACTCTGCAAAATCCACGCCTGTCCTCTTGATGCTAGGTGAGATGCTCGGTTACATACCACAGACTTTAACTGGTATAGTTTGAAAAGTAGATTTTGCCCCCCAAAATAAGAGCTGGCAAACAATAAAAAATGGCTTTCAAGTTCATCAAGTCTGCTTTCAAATCCACTGCCAAATCTTCCAACTTAGTGGAACTTTGAGCAAGGTGTCCTGATCTCTCACCTTTTAGAGGAAGCATCTCTAAAACACATCAGGATGACTTGTTTTTTTCCCTTTGTATTTTTTTTGGAGGTGGTGGTGGGGGTAGTGATTTGGGGGTTTTTTCCCTCCCTCTTTTTTTTTTTTTTTGCATAAGACCAAGTGTCCTTACCACTTCCCAAAACTATTCAGCTATTTAAAAAGATGAAGAGCAGCAGTGGGGATTGAGTAATAGATACTTCAAGTAGAACGCATCATTATACCTGCAGTGATTTTCAAAGGAGAGAATTACAGGATATTCGGATGTGACAAATGCGGTTTCCTTGATGGCTTGAATAACATCCTTTAAAGACAAAAAAGAGTTAGAAGACCAAAAAAATAAATTAAGTTACCTGAAACCATTCAGAGACTATTAATTTCAGCTTTACCAAATGTCAGTTCTGGCAATTAAGACCTGGAGAACCCATTCACCTTGATACCTTTACAGGTGGAGTCTCCTTGTGGTTAGACCCAGGCGCAACTAATGGTTAACGACAATTTTTTTCAAAGCTAACTTTGGCTTCTCCAACATTATGGCGCTGTTAACTGGCAAGAAATTTCATCTCAATGGCATGCTGGTTCCTTGCTCAATTACCTGACAAGACAGGTTCAGAGCTCATCTTTCTTGCTGAAAAGCAGGTGAGGTTTTGGCTACATTTCATTAATTCGATGAAGATTCCTGTGACATTTGCAACATCCCTTGTTTCTTATTAGCCTGATGAAAATGGGGGGGAGGAGGTGACGAGGGAGGGTGCTCTCCTTGATCAAGCAACATGTGAGGTTAAACAGGAGGTGTTCTGGATGCCTCTCTCTGAACTGGAAGCTCAGTCATTTGAAACAACCTTTGAATGAGCTGAGCATATCCTTCCCACAGATGGCTGACCTTGCTCTCTGCTTAGCTTTAGAAAGCATGGTTTCAAACTGATGTTTCTACAACCACAGCATCATATTTGGTAAAAATCTCCAAATTCTTACTGGCTTATCGTTAACCACAGGAAAAATTCAGTTAAATTGGAAAAAAAATTTTACAGAAATCTAGGGAAGTCCATTTGAAACCCATCTAATGCCTTGGGTTAGATAATCCTGGAGTATTTTAGTGAGCATCCTTATGGTTAAGTCCTTTATTCTTGCTTAAAGCTTCTTCACAGGTGAAAACTCCTGTGACCTTGATTGTCCACTTGAGTTGATCAAGAATTAAGTCCCTGAGGAAAATTTTGGCTCTGCCCATGGGTTCTCCTTTGCTCACCTCTGAGCTGAGAAGAAATAGCCTTCTTTTCAGTTAAGCTTCCTTATTAGGCTCCTTAATTCTCTAAAGAGGACAACCCTTCCTGTCAGTTTGGTTGGCTGTGCAAACTCATGGCTTCCCACTTGAATATATTCTTGATACTTCTCAGGGAGTATAATTCCTTCTCAGGGAACATAATCTTGAATTCACTGATGCTCAACATTCACCAACATCTGGCTAAGAGAAATGGTATGTGCATGGAGTGTTATGGGTAAAGGGCCTAGGCATCTGTTTTTACAAATACCTCTGGTGACTTCCCACATGTAGGCAGGATTGAGAACCACTGCTCCAGATGTTGCAATAACTATTCCAAATTGCACCAAACTGACAGAGACAGATGTACCTGAATATTGGCCAACCACAGAATTTCATTTTTTGACTTGTCTTTTGGCAGGCTATCATTGGAGCATATTGAGGAGTGTTGTAAGAAACTAACCTTCAAACTGTACATAGAGATCACCAAAAGGCCATTACTGAAATGTCTGTCTGTAAAACTGCAGATGCCTCTCTTTGAGGGTCCTTGGGGAAAAGTCTTCTCTGGCATCAGGACCAGGAAAAACTATGCTTCTTTGGATCAATGGCTCTGTTTCTAGTTTACAGATCTTGTGGATCATCATGTTTCTCTCCTTGCACTAAATTCTAGAAAGTCTGGAGCCCATTTGTGGCATGGCTTGGCAGTTTATAGGACTTCTTATGGAGGATTCATAAACTCTCACCTCACTCACTTAGCTCCTTGCTCTTACAGGCACTATTTATAATCTATTTGATTTTATGCATTCTATTTATCTTTTTACGCCCATTGGAAGTCCTTCAGAAAGAACGCAAAGTAAGCAAGAAAACAGAAGGCTGTTTTTAAAGTAATTAGAGTCTGGGGACTCTGGCAGAGAAACCTCATTATATGGTGCTGTCACCATATGAAAGCAGCAAAGTTAGAAAAAGATGGTGCTATGAAGTGGAGAAAACAGTTTTCTTGACTTTCTCTTCAAAACTGGGGGAAAGGAATATGAAAGCAAAACACTTGAGAAAATGAATAACCTGTTTTCTCCACTCCATCTATCTCTATGATAGTCTGGAAAAGACTATGGCTATTTTGAAACTTACCTTAAAAAGGATATCTGTACACATTGCTTTTCCATGAGTTATTATTGGTTCTTGGTCTTCACCTTTTCCATCCCAACAGTCAAGTTCAACACATCTAGGCACACAGTGAAATTACAATATTGAACCCTTATAATAAAATAGTGTGTGTGTGCAAATTAAAAGAAGACACATCAAAATAAGTTGTTTTCTTAAAGAAGTAGAACATGGACTGAGTTAAGTAACATGATTATTTCATGGAGTATTAGGCCAAAATCACATTATATTCTTTATCACGCTGGTGTCATCAAAAAGGAACTGTCAGAGATTAAGACAGACTTAGGAGATACAACCACCAGTGAAGTTCTGGCTGAAATTCCAGTCATGACAAAGGTACAATGAAGGACAATTTGGGGACAAATGGGAACATCTGAATACGGGCTGGGTTTTAGATGATGTTAAAGAACAATTTTTAAAATTTTGTTAGGTGAAATGATGTAACTTTGGCCATAAAAGAAAATGTTCTCATTGTGTCAAGTATTCAGAGACAGAAGTAGTGATGTCATTTCCTTAGTGTCTCTCCATACACAAAAAATAGTGAGTTATTAAAAAGTAAGGTATGGTTAATGGTAACCAAGAAAAAATATCATCATGTAACTACATTTCTTATTTTTCACTTTCAGCATTTTTTCCATATTTTAAACCTCAAATATTTGCCTATTTCCATAGAAGAAAAACCATTTTCAATAATCTTTATTCTCAGAGAATGGCATTTTAGAACTTTTAACATTAAGTAGAGCTAAATTTGCAAATGTTTCAGACCAATAAGAAACTTAGCATGACTTCTTGAAAAAAATTTTTTTGCAATTTTGATCAAAAGGGGATGATAATTAAAATTTACAGTAAAAAATGTCTTTTGGCCCAAAGGAGGATTCTAGAACTTTCTGGAGCAGAGATTTTCTTTTTCAAGGTTATATGACCAGGATAATCAATTAAAGGGAAGGAAAAAGGTCTTTTTCATTCTGAATACTGCGTCCTATTTTTTTTTTTTTTTTTTTTTTTTTTTAGAGAAAGGTCAATTAAATTGAAGGGCATCATAAAAATAAAAAAATAAAAAATAAAAAAAAATAAAAAGCTGTCCTGAGTTTCTGACCTGCAACCAGCCAGGAGAACCTGTCTGTACATTTCTACTGAAGATTTCCCGCCAAACTGTCGGCCCGTGAGATAGGTATTATGGGAAGAACTGATGAAGTAGTGGGCCAGAGGATGGTCCATTTCTTGGTAAAGTTCTAAACGATCCAGGAAGACTGGGGCATTTTCATCTGACATCAGATATCTGCAAAACCCATCACTTGATATGAGGCCTAAGGGAAAAAAAGAACAGCTAGTAGACATGTGGCTCGGAAAATACACCTCTCACGTTTTTCTTCTTGAAAATTGAGGCAACTTAATCAAGAGTAAAAACTTCTCATTCTCGTTCCCAAGGACCTTCATCCTTCAGAACTTGAACAAAATAAGAGCTGCACATTACAAGTAACCTAATGCATTCCAAAAGACAGGTGGTGTTCTGCTTTTGTAAGTAGGATGGCAGAAGCACACGATTCCCTGAGCTCAGAAGTGCAGCCCCAGGAGCCGTGGTGACCAGGGGTCAAGGGGACCTTCATCAGTTCCATTTCTACCACTCGCTCCTTATGTTCTTGGGTCTCAACCTCCTCTTATGTCAAATGGGGGGAAATCCTGGCCACATCTGCTTTCCAGGACTGTCATAAATGGTAAAGAAGAATACATACGAGAGGGGCTCTTAAAATAGTGGAAAACAGGGGTGCCTGGGTGGCTCAGCTGGTTAAGTATTTGATTCTTGATCTCAGCTCAGGTCTTGATCTCAGGATTATGAGTTCAAGCCCCACGTTGGGCTCAAGTGGAAAACCTGCAACTGTAGGGCACTATTGTTCTCACTGGATCAGAGAAGGGATGAGCAGCCTCTCTGGGTTTCAACAATTCATTTCTCCTCTTTTATCTATGAAACAGGGTGTGGGACTGGTGAGAAGAGTATTCAGTTATCACTGAAATGTGGCTCCTTTCTGACACAGGGCAGGTCCCCCGTGGTCTCAGAAAAAGCGATCAACATTTCTACATCTCTTACCCTGTCAACCATTGACCATCTCAGCTTTTTGTTTTTATTTAAGCATTGGCAAGTTATAAACTGATTTCAAGCTTATAAAAAAGTACAGATGATATAGCATAATAAATAACTATGGGCCCACACCACAGCTTTGTAACATTTTACCTTATTTTTTTACATTTTTCAGAGGAATACGTAATTACAGATGCCTTTGCAGCACCCTGTGCTCCCACCCTCCATCCTACTGCATGCAGTCCCTCTTTCTACTCCCTTTTAGACAACCACTCCCAACTTTTTGTATTGAACATTCTCAAAACAGCTTTGTAACTCCACTACATACGCCTTTAACCAAATAGGCAGTTGTATTTAAAAGCTTATATAGAAGATATTCCACTATTTGCATATGCAACTTGCTATTTTTACATTTTCTTAGAACTTATTCAGTTCGTATAAATAGCTTTTGGTCATTTATTTTTCCCTGAATAATGTACAGTAGTATGTGTAGTGGCAGTACATAGGATTGTAGAATGTAGAGTAGATCCATGTATGAATATACCCATTTATTGTCAACGATTCTGTTGATGGGTATTTAGGTAATTTCTAATTATAAATAAACATACTACAATAAAAATCTGTGTACCTATCTCCTTGGGCACACACATCCGTTCTAAGAGCAAGTACTTTTTAAGGCACTGGGACAGATGGAGTGATGGGAGAAACAGACACGCCCAGCCTTCATGAAACGTATTATGAGAAAGAGAACAAATAAATTAGCAAATAAATATAAGTATAATGTAATATCATGCAAGTGCTAGAAGGAAATAGAAAGCGGGGAATGAAGGTGATCAAGGATGACCAGGATGCTGTGTTAGATACGTGGCCAGCAAAAGCCCTTCTGAGGAGGTCACATTCACGAATAGGTAGCAAGCCACATGCAATCTGGGGAATCATCCCAGGTAGAAGGATCAGCAAGTGCAAAGGCCTTGATGCAGGAGTGTGTGACTGAGGGGAAAGGTAGTTAGAAATGAGGCTGGAGAGGAAGCCAAAAGCTACATCAGTTAGACTGAAGTCTTTGCTAAGTACTGTGGATTTTACTCTAAATGTGTTGGGAAGCCTTTGGAGGGTTCTGAAGAGTGGAATAACATGATTAGATTTAGTTTTTAAAGGTTTAGTCTGGCTGCTGTGTGGAGCATAAACTGTAGAGCACTGAGTAGAAAGAAGACGACTAGTTAAAAGTCAACTGGCATCGTCCAGGAAGACATGATGTAGGCCTGGAGAGTCCGATGAAGGTAGAGATGGTGAGAAGTGATTTATTCAGGAATTATTGAGGATAGATCTGGTAGGTTTTGCTGATGGATCAGAAGTGATGTGAAAGAACGAAAGCAAGGAAGATTCCAAGAGTTTTGGCTTGAAATCTGGGTGAACCATGGTACCATTTTCCAGGCTGAGAAGGGGACAGGCCTACGGGCAGGGAAAATCAAAACATGTTGTACACATACATTCGAAATGCCCATTCAGTATCCAAATGGAGAATTCTACCACAGGTCTATAGTTGAAATTAGAGCTTAGGAGTGGAGAATTTGAAAGTCGTGTGTAGAAAGAAATGTAAAAGCACTGACTTGGGTGAGGGCACTTCCTCTGACATCCAGAGCTGGGAACGAGATGGGAGATGCTACCTACATACCTGGAGGTGGAAAGGCTGGGCTGTAGGAGGGGCATATTTTCCACTCTACCAATTATTGCCAAACTATTCAAAAAGGTGGTTGTTTGTACCAATTTATGCTTTTCCCAGAAGTTTATAACGCCTTTTGCACCACATTCTCACCCATACTTAAGAATGGCAGACTTTAAAATTTCTGTCATTTGTGAAATGGTGAAGCTATGATTTTTATATGTGTCAATGTAATTTCATAGACTTTAGGACCTGGAAGGACTTTGGAAATAATGAGAGAGACACCTCTATCCTAACATTTATCATACTGCCAAGGAACTGCTGAGCCTTGTCCTTCAACAGATCACAACTGCCTTACTTGCTTTTGAATCCCCAACATCTGGCACATTGCTTGGCACCCAGTCAGCCCTCTATAAACTTTAAGAAATGAAAGTAGGGGAGCGAAATACTAGTTGAATGACTGTAAGGGCTCCACCAGGTTACAAGCAGGGAAACCAAAGCCCAGGAAGAGAGTCCCTTGCTCAAGGTCACACAGTGACAGGGGAGCAACAAGAATCCAATCAAATAGTGCTATATTATCTATCAAGCCACCCTTCCCTTCACTTTAATCCCATGCAATGGAGAATAAATAGTAATACTCAGAGTGTTGGTAGAAAGGTAAATAAGGAAGCACTCTTGCTGAAAGGAGGTATTTGGGGCCCTAGCAGGAAGTGTAAGTGTATGTCTTTTTGACTTGGAAAAATATCAGGGGTGGGTCATGTGTTGTGGTGGGCCAGCATGCATATACACGGGTTCTATGTGGGTCCAGAGATTATACAAACCTTTCAGTCACATTCACTGAGATACAAAGCAAAAAGAACTCAGAAACTGGAGGCCCTAATGCCCAGGGGCACATTGGAGAGATAGAACTTGAACCTGAATCTCCCTTCAACTCTCTACTGGGACACAAGGCTGAGGCTGGAGCTCAGGTAGCTCTTTTCTCAGGACTTCCTGTCCAATTATGGTAGCATCACCTCTCCTATCCTTTGCAGGAGCCTCCCACTGCTATAAGACTGATCTTCAGTTCCCTCTCCATGCCTTTTCTTTGTCAAATATTGGAATGGACAGCACACTGTTTCCAATGTTTCATTGAAAGAGGCAAATGTTCAGAAACCCCAATAATTTGCTAAATTGATTCTTGAGCATTTAATTTCCTATCAGTTGCATTTGTATTCCATAACAGAGGTCTAATGATGGGAAGGCTCATCAAATCATGTATTAAAATTTACATGGCTTGGCAAAACAAAAGGGAGAAAAAGAAGGTATAAACTTTTATAAGATGTGAAATTCCTTCCAAGATTGCAAACAGACACTGTATGGGCATTTTTGCAGTTTGAGCATTAGGCAATACTAAAGATCGAATGTAAGAGAGGACAATGGGGAAAATATCACTACCATGTGTTTAATAATGTAGTAAACTTACATTATACCTCAGGCAGCATGGGCAAATTCTGATGTAAGGTAAAATTTATACTAACTTAGAACAGGGAAAAAAAAAATCAGTCCATTAAAAATCCTTGGCTCTAGGGAGCTCCAAAGCATTTAAAGATGTCTTTAACTAAAAATCCAAGAATGTTTAAAGCTGCATATAGTCTTGCTTTTTCTTTAATAAAGAAAATTATCTTTTTTCACTTTTATTACCTTTTTTCTTCAAATCTTCATCAGGCTCATACATCTCGATGATCTGCATCGCCCTTTTAGCATCATAAAATGGGAATAAAATTTCATTCAGTCGAGGGTCTCGCTGATGCTATGATGAGAAAATAACCCCATTTAGGTTGACATTTCTCACCCTTGGGGCATTACACATCACTAAAGTACATAATTTCTAAAATAAGATATATTGAGAATATCACATTTACAGTTACAAAGATAGGATTTCACTGTCCTACTGTCTTTCTCCCTAAAATATACTTCAAAAAAGTCCAACTTTGGGAATGCTTTGGTTTCCCTCACTGAACTAGAAAGAGAATACAGAATATATATATATATATATATATATATATATATATATATATACACACAGACATATATTTCCCCTCAAAAGCTAAAGGATACATAAAATGGTGTGCATGTCAATTGTACTATCTTCTAGTCCCCATACCCCAGGTGAGAGATTTGGCATAAATATCTATAAAAAGTGAGGTCAAAAATCTTTGGGGGAAAAAAAAAGGAAAAACAAAAGCAAAAACTAAAAAAACCCTCCAAAAAACCCAAATAACTCAAATAGTTAATATACTAACTTAGGTGCCGAAAAAGAAAAACAATAGTAACAACAACAACAACAAAAATCCCTAAGGTTAAAACAGGCAAACATCGTTTCATTTTCGTTATATATATATTTTTTTACATAAAGAAAAGATTTCTTGGGCAGTCTGCAAACTTCATTTTCTTGAGTAAATATTTATCAAATCAGTCATAATAATGATGACAATTAATCGGCACAAGGATATGTATCAATTATTGACAATATGAAAATCTGTATTTGAATTATCAGTAGTTCAGAAAGTCTTTTTCACTATGAACTAGAACTGGGTTTGCCCTGAGGAAATTCTCTGGGCAAGGGGAGTCCATGAATGATTAGGCACTTAGGAAGCTGGTGATGCCAGTCTTTAAAAATCAGCACCTGGATGCTCATGGTACTACAGGAGGCACCAGGAACAATGCTATTTCTGCAGTTCTGTCACCCAAACTTCACAGCAGTGGTGAAAAAACTCCAATTTACTGACTCAGCTACAATTTTCTGTATGTGTGTGTGTTGTGCATGTCTCTGCATGTGTGTGTGTGTGTGTGTGTGTCTATATATGGAGGCAGTGGGTCCGTGAAACTTCCTTAATGTTCACCGTGAATTGGACCCTGGTCATTCATCAAATCTATAACTTCTATGGAAATCATGGCAGAGAAGCAGATGTGAGCAAAACCTGGTCAATGGGTAGAACCTTGGCGACAACTCTTTACCCAAATATATGCACAGACATTGAAAAACAGCACTGAGAAGTTGTTTGAGAAACAATTGTTAAAGGTTCATATGGATTTCCCTTCCCCATTTGTTCTGAGATGAAAGTTTGAAAAGTGGGTAACACAGAATGAATGCCTTTGGCCAACGCAACACGCACAATGTAATTTCCTCAAGCACTTGTGGCCTAGCCTATTCTGGTCCTCCCACCTCTTTGCCCAGGTAAGAGTGTTAACTCATAAGGAATCGGTATCTTTTGGTCAGTTTATCCCAATGAAGCATGCTTCTGTTGTAATCTAAGAAATTACAGCTCACAACAGCTCACGTCCATGCATGTGCAAGAGCAGAAACTGTTATATTAACAACAGGCCTTGAAACCATAAAAAACAAAACTCATGGGGTACGCAGAGAGAAACTGTGAGGTGGACCATGGAAGGCCAGGCACATGAAGGCATGCTACAATCTTATTTATGAAATGGATGGGCATCATGCAACTCTAGAGACCGCTATTCAAGGGCATGACAAGCACCACCCCTCTGGTGAGAAGGCATCGTTTTAAAAACAAACAAATAAACGAACAGAAAACTCTCTCTAGTCACATTTCCTCCTCCATCTCCATAAAATACTATCACGGAAGAAGATGGATATGGGAGGAAAAGGTCCTTTTTAGACCCCATTGCAGTTATTTTCACAGTTGGCCACTATATTTCACTTCCTTATTAAAAGTAGGCTTTTTGATTTAAAGATATGCTCATTGGTAAGAATTCTGGGCTCATGGAGATGATGGGGCAAATCCATATGAATTAAAAAAGTGAGAAAAAGAAGAGATTAAGCTGCAGGGGAGAGAAGAGATTAAATTAGGTAAAGGAGGGGGAACCCAGACGCTCCTATGTGCTCTTTATATGCATACCTATGCATATGAGCCTGGTGTGACTTATAATGTGATCTGTTGATGGCAGCATGGCATCTCCCACATCTGGGAGTTAAAATGCAGATTCTCAGGCCCCACCAAAGACCTAGCAGATCTGATTCTCTGGGGAGGAACCCATGAATCTGTGTTTTGAAAAGCTTTCCAGGTGACTCAAGTTTAAGCAACACTGCTCTAACATGTAAAAGTATGCCTTTTAACATCCTTGTATTATCAGTTATATAAAAAACAAATCAACCTAAAAACCTAAGCCCTGCAAGGACAGAATGCTAAATGTTTGAGATGTCCTCCTAATTAAAGCCCATTAAAATTCAGTCCCAGGGCACGACAGTCACTAGAACATCCTGCCTATCAGAAGCAAAAGCCGAGAAACCAAGCCCTAAAATGAATGCATCATAATTCCCTAACTGTACATTTACAGCAAATAAGCATTAAAAGTAGACAGTATGAAACTGCATTTGCCTTTGCATCACTCCACCAGATAACATAACCTTTGCTTCACTAAAACTTTCATGTTTCAAAAAGGAAGCATGGTGCACTCTGGATAGTCCGAAGGCAAGGAAGCAGATGATAAGATTTGCATCAGAGTCACAAAACTGTAATTTTTATATGAAACAACAAAGAGGAAAAAGATCACTTCCAGGTGACCTCAGAGTAATAAGGTTGCAGAAGAATCCCACACAGATGTAAGCACAGCGGGACAAACGTTTCAGAACTCTGAGGGATCGCTGGTTTTCCGTGGGGATTTGGGGAAGCAATGTGCCTACGACAATCACCTCTGGATGTCCAGAGCTTTGTAAAGTGAGATCTAACCAGCTTCTGAAAATAGGTCACAGAACCGTGCCCACGTGCATGAGGAGAGAGTGGTCATTGCTCCATTATTATGTCCTAACTCTTACTGAGAAAAGGTAGCAGCTGGCTTTAACCCAAGCAGCACTGAGAGAGATAGATGTTGACAGAAAATATTCAGAAGAAATATAAAGAAGATAAAGGAATAATTTGCAAGAGTAGGCTTACCCGTAAGACTAAACACCTCCTTCTCTTTCTGTGTCTATGTATTAAACAATAAAGATACTATAAATGGAAAGTGATCACAGGCCCTTTCCTACACAACTGCAAAATAAAATAAATAAACATGTCTAGCCCTAACGTGATCATATGTGTGTGAAGCAGGAGGAGAGATCACTGGCAACAAGAAAATAAAGCTAATTCTGGAAAATTGTGGTCATCTAAGACCTTTTCCCTCTTTTTCTCATCTTGATCTCTCTCTCCAGCCCTCCATGTATCTCCTGATTCTGTAGGCCCTCCCCCTCAGTTATCATCTTTGTGAGAGAATAAAGGTAAAACTGAAATCAATTTGGCTTCTCATTGGAAATGCGGAAAGATAGGTGAAATTAACTAAAGCCCAGGGACATTAATTAGCCCCAACACAGATAGAGAACGGAGTTGGAAGCAGTATCTAACCGCATGGCAGCTCACAGTGAGCACCTTTACTGGCTCTCCCAGACTCTGGTTTATTATTTTCAGAAAGCAGGAAGAAGAGAAGTTTCTCTTGGTTCACTGATGGGAGCAAGAAGCATAGCTGTGGCAAAATTTTAGGATCTGAGTGGTGGATTTCTATGACTAAATCCATTATGGAGAATAACAGAAGATACATGATACTCTCACATTCTTCCCGTCCATACTAAGCATTCCAAAGAGGAATCCAGGTAATCCACTAGGACAGTGCTTCACAAACTTTAATGTGCAGACCAATCACCTGCAGATGTTGTTAAATGCAGATTTCAAGTCAGTAGGTCTGGGGTGGGACCCAAGATTCTGTAATTCTAACAAGCTGCCACAGGATGCTGCTGCTGATGGTCCATGGATCATGCTTTGAGGAGAGACTGAGAAGCAGATGAGAAGCAGGTCTAAAGCTACTAGTGAAAAGCTAGTAAGTGTTGATGACATGGATAGGGAGGAGGTGGGACAAACCCCTCTACGGTGACCAAGATAGTAAATGGCCAGTAGTCTCTCCTCTCATTCCAGCTTCCTGGAGATAGACATGAGTACACTGAACATAAAATTTCATCTGAAGAATAAAAGGATTTACAAGCTGGAAAGTGGTGGGAGGCAGCATGACTTTTTTTCCCTATTACTTGTTCTAATTGGTTAATGCTGGTATACATGCATCTGTTGATTTTTTGCTTTGTCAATCATTTCTCTGGTTATTTTGCTGAACTCTCATTTAAGGAGTTTTTCAGTTGATAATTTTTGATAGGGTACTGAATCATCATCTTCAAACGATGAGTAGGACTCTGTCCTTTTGTATTCATGAGACTCTTTATTTTTCCTATCTTATCACATAATCTGGGGCTTCTAACACAGTGTTGAATTTTGGCTTGTTGACACTATGTAGCTAAGGCATTTTGAAAATGTTTAGATCTAAGCTTTTGGAGCCATAGACTCCTACAATGCAATGCCTGCATTCTTCTCGAGTGAATGCTATCTCCTTTCATTATGGGTTTTGAAGGTGTTCTGCCTACAGGGTGCTTCTGATTTTGGAGAGAGGAGAAGAGCCACTATAGGACTCAAAAGAAGGTTACAAGGAGCTGGCAGAATGTTTTCTAAGTTTGACAGATTTCTTCAAGGATACATTGCTATCAAGGATACATTGCTATCAAAACAAGATTGCTATCTAGTTTTTCCAGTTCAGTTTGCTAGGAGAGAAAAGGACGAGATTTGGGCACTTCGATTAAAAACAAAGGCTGTACACTTTCCTGGACCATCTTGTAGTCTCTATGATCTAAAGAAATCAAGAATCACACGGAGTCCATGTGTCCCACCCCAAAAGTAAAGATGCTTCCTTATCATGAATGAGAAGCCACGCAGAAGAAAACATAAAAACAAATGAGTGCTATTGGCCACCGTGATAGTGATATATAAAAGCTTATCAAATAATAAGTATTTGAAGAAAGAATTTGGATGGCAGAGCCAGAAAGCATGGGTGATCATATCTTTTAAAAATTAAATGTTATGTCTTAGACTCATAAAAATGAGAAGCGATGACTGGGTAGGCTTACAAAAACAACCCATACGAGGAAAGGCGTGAGATAAAGAGCCCATGAATACCACACTATCCTCAAGACTTCAGAATTGTTTCTTTATTGTCATGGTGACACACATAGTAAGGTGTCTGTCATATTTCATAGATGCCTGGATGCCAGCTTCATCTCAGAATGCGCAAGAGACCTTGTTTCTAGGAAGTAGCAAACCAACGATAGAGCTTTTCTCCGTGCCTCCCAACGGTCTTCCCTCTTTAGCCAAAAGCAAGACTTTCCTGCCCATCTCACCAAAACTTAAGATGAGTGGGAGTGACCCAAAGTGCATGAAGAAGCTGAAGGAAATAAAACAATAAATCTTAAAAATAAAGCAGAAGAAGGGGAAGGAGTTAAAGGAAACAAAGCAAGGCAACTTAACTTCTGAGTAACGTGGCACAGGAATGTGGATAATATCTGGGTAAAGATTCTAAACATAGTATTCGCATGACCAAAAACTAGTGGGGTGGAAAAACTTGCAATGTTTTCAAGTAAAATAAATATTGCATTGCACTGAAAGGCTTATTAAAAGTGGAGGCAACTGTGCTGATAAATGGAGTAGCTATTCTTCCTGGCACAAGGGCTTTTAGGCTCTGGTTATCATAGTTCTGTCGGGGCAACCCTACCAGCTGGGAGCCACTGAGCCCTAACAGGGCAGAAGCCCTTTGGCAAAGATGTGATTTGTCTCCACAAACTGGCAAATCACAGTCTGCCTGTTGCCTGTTCTTTGGGTCAATACTTCATGTCTGGCATGATACTCTCTCTTCAAATATTTTCTCTTTATATGGTATAATGGTTAAATTATATTAAAAAATTGTTTTGAAACAAAAATATATTGTCCATTCCATTAATGTGCTAGGAAAAAAAAGTACATTTTCCATTTTGGATGAGCAAGAGCTTCAATGGGTTTCACTGAACAGTACATTCTTTTGTACATACAAAGAAAAAAAAAGTTAATTTTAGTTGTAACAAAAGTTGCAACCTTTATGTGTTTCAAAATATTTTTTGCTTGTGCTTCAGCAAATGTTGTCAACCAGTGTTGGTTGTTGAGTGAATCATATTCTAAAATGAGCCCTAAGCTTGTTATAAAAATAAAATCTAAAAATTTGACCTGCAATCTAATTGGCCTAATATATACTATATTTTCACCCAGGAACTCCACTGTTGTGCTCGTTGTCAAAATAATCTCTTGGAACCTACATATCGTTCTTACATGCAATCCATTAAAAGACAAAAATAAAGCTTTCCAGTCCATGCAAAGGTATGAGAAAAAGTTAGCAATGGAGAATCCAACTACAGTGTGGTAATTTCAATCCATTCTCTATTTAATGAGATCAACAGGAGAAAAAAAAAAAGTACCTTAAATATCATCTTGCAAAAACATAGACACATTTAATTAAATGAATATATTATAAAATTCACACGCACACACAGAACCAGAGCTATACATCACAGCAAGAAAACCAACAAAAAAAAGCAGTGTGCAAAGCCAACGTGTAGGAAGTGCATAAACACCCAGAAGCAGCAGCTGATTTTTGCACCTGGTAAAGAAAGCCATATGGAAAGATCAGCAGGTCAGAAGCAAAGCGAATAGGGCGTATGATGCGGGCATGCAATGGGGACACTGGAGGAGGCAAGCCACTGCACACAGACTTTATGGAGTTAATGTATGAAAAAGCTTACTTCATTTAGAAAGCTCACTAATTGGTCTACCGTTAAATAATCAGTTTTGTCTCCATTGCTGAAAAGAAATTTATTAGAAAAAGTAAGTTTTTGTATATGATGCTACAGTAGGTACGATTTACATGTTGACATTTGTTGATGATAATTCTAAACTTATTTCTAACCCTGAAGTAGTGGTGCATTCTTAAAATGGCCAGAGACTGGTTGTAAGAACAAAAAAAAAAAAAAAAAAAGAAGAAAAAGAAAAAGAAAAAAAGCAACAACCCAACAACAAGAGAAAGAAAACACTCCCACTAGCTCACAGAAAATGTCTGCAATTCTTCTGTTTAGTATTATTGAAAACCGTTATTTTAAAAACAACATGTAAGTCATCCATTTGAAATAACTAGAATGAATGAACTTTTCAACAACATAATAACATTCCAAATCGAATCTAGTTAGTTCACATAATGGGTTAATACCTAAAGGAGCAGGTTAAAATTGTAGGTAGTTAGTAAAGCCAATGCAAGGGGGGGAAAAATCGTTCCAGGTGCTGCCATTAATTTTTGTAAAAGTTTCTCAAAAACTCAGAGTGAACTTTTACAGTGATAAACTAAGGGGTGAAAATGTAACCCTAGCTACATAATCCTAGAGACTCTCAACATACTATATTAGAACATTACCACAAAAAATGTTTTAAAAATCTAAAGGGACAAGAATGTGACATTTTCTCATAAGTAGAACTTACATTTTTTTAAAAAGATCCTCTATATCTGTCCGAGGACAAATCTTTTGTGTCAGTTCATAGAACTTTTCATAAGTAAATGCCGTAGGCTCAATTTCATCATTCTGTAAAGAACAAAAGAGTGTCATAACTCATGCAACATCTTTCTCCTTGGAGGGGAAGAATCTATCTACAGGATCATGAAGTACAGCAATGACCACCTTGGATTCCCAGGGCCTCAATCTCTGATTCTTACTGAGAGAAGCCAGACGGCCAATCCCAGCTGTGGTCAGGCCGTCCTGCCAGCACCCGGCATGTGTAAATGGGTGTTTCTGGTTACCATGGGCAGCCATAACTTGTGTGTTCAAACACTGACTATAGCTGGGCTCGCTCTGGGAAACACCCCATAAAACAAATATAAAGAAACATTTCCTCTTTCTCTCCTTGATGGAGAAAAGCAAGTGCCTGCCTAAAGGATGCTGAAAAAATCAAACCAAGTGTTTACTTATGTTTATCTTGTGAATTTTCACAAGACCACATGAAGGGGCTCAGGACAACCATATAAAATTTTACTTTTCATCCTGAAGTTTGTATTTCAAATTGGATTTGTTAAAGTAGTAACAGGCTAAAATCTTTCTTGCAGTCAATAAATTAGTTTCAATTATTCTAAATCCAAAGGGCCAGGAACACAAATGGTTTGTGAGGGAGGGGTGCTTTATAAAATACTCCACAGCCATCTTGAAGAACTGGATTTATTAGTCAATTATTCAGGCTGACATTGTGCTTGGTCAAGGCAATGCAGATGGGCTTCTCTAATAAGCCTTCTGGGGGCGCGTGGGTGGCTCAGTCAGTTGGGCATCCGACTCTTTTTTTTTTTTAAGATTTTATTTATTCATATAAACAGAGAGAGAGAGCGTGCACAGAAGCAGGGGGAGAGGCAGAGGGTGAGGGAGAAGCAGACTCCCTGCTGAGCTGGGAGCCCAACATGGGGCTCGACCCCAGGACCTGGAGATCATGACCTGAGCCGAAGGCAGGTGCTTAACCATCTTAGCCACCCAGGTGCCCTGGGCACCCGACTCTTGACTTGGGCCCAGATCATGACCTCAGGGTCTTGGGATCGAGTCCAGCGTCTGGCTTTGCACTGGGCGTGGAGCCTGCTTGAGATTCTCTCTCTCCCCCTCTGCGTGCCAACCCCCTCCCCACTCTCTCTCTCAGAAAATAAAATAAAATAAGCTTTCCACAAGCTGTGTAAAAGAGCAGACTGGCTGTCATTTCCTTTTCTTAATAGAGTTGATAAAAACATTTTGAAGTACACTATTTGAATTTGAAAACATTTAGTTTAAAATGCCCAGAAAACAAAAGGCAGGCAGGCGGGCAGAAGGGAAAGTTACTTGTACTTGATGTGACTATAACCAGTTTTGAATCTAAATGACATCAGTTGAACATAGATAAGCTGGCTTATTTCATATGAGAACATAAATAGACAAAATCGTTTTAGAAACACATGATTAAATGAATAAATACCTTTCCACTGGGAAGACCTAACTCCTTGAGTGCTTGAAAGATCACCTTTTCTGTTTTCCCCGATGCAAAAGTTCTAGTAATACTAGGGCAGAAAAGAAGGGGGGGAAAAAAAAGTCACGTTTTGTTAATTCTGTTTTCTATGAGGCAAAAATCCAAGCGATACTCAGGACTGTAGGATGGCAGGGGGAGAAGGGGAAGGAAAATACATTTAGTTTTTATTTTTAGGTATTTTTCACTTCCCTAACTAGCTCCTGCAATATCCCTTTGGTTACACTTCCGAGGCAACTTGATTCTCAGATGGGTGTCCCCCTGGGTGCTTGGGAACCCCAGAAGCTGTGGAGATACATACTGGTGGACCAAAACAATGAGAAATTTTGATCCTACCAAATAACTTTCTCAGGAAAAAGGCATGTGCTAGATGGGACAGGTCTAGAATAAAACCTCATGTTGATACTATCTAGGCTTGGGGTAGAAAAATAGGCTCCACAGAATTCAGCCTCTGCCTGGATGGCCCTTATACCTTGCTTTCAAACTTACCACAGCTGAGATGCACTATCAGATATGTTTTTAAAATTTTTTAAAGATCTTATTTATTTATTTAAGCAGGGGGGAGCACCAGCAAGGGATGGGGAGGGGTAGAGGCAGAGAGAGAAGCAGACTCTGTGCTGAGCCAGGAACCCGCCACAAGGCTGGATCCCAGGATCCTGAGATCATGATCTGAGCCTAAGTCAGATGCTTAACCTGAGCCACCCAGGTGGCCTTACATTTTTTTTTTTTTTTTTTTTGAGCTGAGTAAGCACCCTCGAGCCACTCTGAATACCAGCTGCCTCAAGGATTAGGAAGTTTACTGAGAAAGGGATAGGTGTGGTGGGGAGGGGAGACAGGGAAACACTTGTTCAGTGTTGCAGTAGAATCTTGGTACTACCCTGATACATGGTATTTCTGAATAATGATTCGCCCTTTAGCACGTATGGTGTACATCGAGACTAGTAAAATGAGCAACACCTTAATGAGCCTGTTTCCTCTTCTGATAAATACATTGGCGACACTCAGAATGACCTATTGAGGATGGGAGCGGGTACCCTAGAATTCATGTTTGGCTCTGAGCCATGCCTTAGCCAACCAAAGGAGTCTTCATTCATGCTGTGGCTGGAAGCCCAGGGAATCTGTCACCATAATAACTAAAACTCTAATTTCAGAAGTCCAGCCTTGACGTGAGGGTACAGCCATTTCATCTGGCAAGCTTGGTTTTGGAATGCCTTCTCTGTGAGCACAAGGGGCTTTGTAACAGCACCTCCCCATGCCCAACCCTGTCACGCACTCTTCCATTCACGCTAAGTGGAAGCCACATCCCAATGTAAGCACTGAGAGCCAATTATTCTTGATGAGTGGGAGAAAGCACCTCTTCAAGTGCACAGCACAACTTTCCAAAATAGACTGGGGAGAACTAACTTTAGGTAAAGGAATTGTTACGTGCTCCTTCAAAGCTTTATTGTTTCATACTTGGTCCAAGAATACTGCAAGAAGTTCATTTTTAAGAGCGCTTCACACAGCTGCATTCAACTCCACAGTGGCCCACGGATTCTCTTCAACACATCTACAGACATGGTAGAGCGTATGTATTTGGCATCAAGTAAACTGGTTTCTAGGGTAGACGGTGTTATGCCCGCATCTTCCCACTTCCCTAGAGTTCATGGAATTTGTATACACTAAATTGGGTTGAGAAGCAATTTATTGGACCTTTATAAAATAGGGGAAAGTAGCTATTCAGTGTTCTTTTAAAAAAAAAAATTAGGTGTTAATGTGAGAGGTACAGGCAACAGCATCCCCACATTTGGGATGCCTGCAGAAGGAAACTGTTTGCCTCCAATCTCAGTGAACTTGAGCTTCGGGTAGGTTTGGATAGGCATGAACAATGAGAAGAGAACGGACCGATGTGGTCGTGAACCCCGTAGCGGGCACAGGGCCTGAGCCTTTCTGGTGAAACAGAACCTGGGTGTGGGGTGGAGGGAGGGAAGGGCAGGGAGGAAGGGAAGAGGGCATAGGAATAGCATTTTTTGGCTAGAGCTTGCTGAAGTGCCAAGAAGTAAATAGGAAAGAGAACAAGAATGTCTCACGGGAGGAGGAGATCCAAGCCTTTGCACTGGGGGTGGGGGTGGGGGGCAGATAAAGAGATTGAGAGAAAAAGAAAAAAAATAGGGTGTCTCGTGCCAGGAGAGAGGAAAATCCATGTAGGAATATATTAGTGAGGGCAAAGCAGAGCCTAACAACGTGACTGTGCAAAAACTAGACGCGAGGAGGTGGCATTATGGCCTAGAGGGGCTCCTTCTCTGGCCCCCCTTTCCTGAGGGGGCTTGGGCTGGGCAACATCACCACTGATTTGCCCACTTCATTCTTTTTTTTTTTTTTTTAATTTTATTTATTTGCGAGAGAGAGAATGAGAGACAGAGAGCATGAGAGGGAGGAGGGTCAGAGGGAGAAGCAGGCTCCTTGCTGAGCAGGGAGCCCGATGTGGGACTCGATCCTGGGACTCCAGGATCATGACCTGAGCCAAAGGCAGTCGCTTAACCAACTGAGCCACCCAGGCACCCCTGCCCACTTCATTCTAAAGGAGACCAAACCCAGGATGGAAAAGAGGAGCAAGGAAGCTGAATAGGAGTAAGGCCATCCCCCCGGTCTATCTAATAAAGTGCATTTATGGTCTTTGCTCCAGACAGCTATCCAAGAGCTTGGGCCTTAAAATGGATTCCCTCAGAGGTAAAGAGGGTGGTGGCGCAAAGGTGAATTCTTTGAGTTTCCAGTTACATTAGAGGCCCAAAGAATGCCCCTTTAACGGGGTCCTGAGAGAAACACATTTATCAAAGCCTGGGGACATTTTAGGTACAGTCATAGGCATTTCGTGAGAGAGTATTTATCAAGGACTGACTGATTCAACTCTTTTTATACAGCTCCATGCCCACAGAGTACAAGATAGCGCTTCACGGCTAACAGGTATTCAATGACTTTTTGTTGAATCAAAATAAACCACCTTCCCCAAAAGAAATGCTAGAAAGCAAATACCCTTGAGTGGTGCCCAGGCCTATTAAGAGTTCTGGTTCAATTCCATGTTCCAGCAGACTTTACATGACTAAGATAGCAATGATCCTAGAAACCAAGGGAGTCTCATTCTTTCCTTGCCCTCAACGGGCCTACAATCCACTCCATGGTTTTAACACCATCTTCTGAAACACTCAGGGAGGACTCATGCTGTGAAGCCTCAGTAGGGTCCTACTCCCTTCACAGATGAGCTAAGCCTTTGGGACATAAATAGTTACATAGGAGCTGGGCTGCCATGACCATACCCAAAGCTCTCAGGCTTCTTTAACACAACGGTCTCCTTTAAGACTACTTCCAGCCAGGGGCACCTGGGTGGCTCAGTCGTTAAACGTCTGCCTCCAGCTCAGGTCATGATCCCAGGGTCCTGGGATCGAGTCCCACATTGGGCTCCCTGCTCAGCGGGAAGCCAGCTTCTCCCTCTCCCACTCCCCCTACTTGTGTTCCCTCTCTGGCTGTGTCTCTCTCTGTCAAATAAATAAATAAAATCTTTAAAAAAAAAAAAAAAAGACTACTTCCAGCCAGAGCCCACAATTAATGTTTGGCTATCATTTCTTGATTCTCTAGCCACTGGTTCCAACTCCAGGTTACAAGGAATAGGAAATGGCAAAGAAAAGAGTGACTTTCAAAGCTTTGGTCTGGGTGGGAAGATAAACTGAGTGTGAATTTGTAAGCTTGAGAGAAAGGCAGATTGCCTAAGATTATACACATGGAAAGAAAAGAGGGAGATAAAGAGTAAGACTTTCTTCATTAATCACTCCGGCAACTTCCTGGATATTAAATTTCAGCTAATACTCAAGAGCAGGGGCCATTCCCAAGCGATGGAACAACTATGAAGCCAGATCCCTTTTAACAGTATGCACACTATACTAATAGTTTCCATTTTAAGAACTCCAGAATGATAGTGATGAAATGACATTTTAAAAGTGTTTACTCTTCATATCCATTAAAACATTCAGAACAATTTCCACCTAGCCCTTGGCAGCTCATCTACCAGGGGACTCATCCGCTTTTCTCTGGCTTGGTGTCAATTCTCCATCAACTCTGAACAAACTGCCCCCGAATCACAGATGTCTTGTGTCAAACACCTGTTAATACTGGCAGGCACCAAAGTGTTCATGTCAAAGAGAGCTAAAGAAAATGACAAAAGGATGGTAATAATTTTGTATGTGAACATACCGATAAAGATCTTTGAAACCATAAAAAAAACTTCCAAGCTTGTCTAACAATGGCTTGATTAGGAGGATACATATAAATGAAACCAGAGTTGTTAGTTAGAAGTGCTTTGATTGCAATCTATGTGTTTCTACTTTGTCCATTTCCTGAACCTTATCTTGGAAGAAAAAGCAGGACGGTAAGGTATGTAAAAACAGATCCAGCATAAATTTCTGTTCTCCACACTGCTGTCTGTGCTAAGTTTGGACTTCTTAATTCAATATAGATTTTAAAGAAAAACGTACTATATGTTGGGCAGTAGCTATAGGATGCTGGGATATATTAAAATAATTGTCCTGCTATTGCTCAACAGAGCAAAGGATTTAAAAAAAATAAGGATCAGTTTAAAGTATCTTTGCCAACAATTATCAGTCAAAGGTGCTAACAGGGCATTTTTTTTTTAAAGGTTCTACTTTCTTTTTCTAAAGTAGACATAAAATTGATTTGCTAGTAAGTTAATAAAAAGGAGAATCCTACATGTAGATCTATAAAGACCACAACAATGCATGAGGTGTACGACTTGGTAAGCCCTTAATAAAAGGTTAAGTAAAAATATTGCCCATGGTCTTCCTTATGATTTGTATGCTTTTAATTTTCTCATTGATATTCCAGTTCTGTTTTTTTATGGTTTTTTATGCTCAAATGCTATCAGTTCTGTTATAACACATGGGTTGTTATAGAGCACGGAATTAAAATGATGGCCTCTAGGACAATTCTGTTTAAGATTTTATTTATTTGAGAGAGAACGAGAGACCACAAGCAGGGGGGAGCGGGAGAGGGAGAGGCAGGCTCCCCGCTGAGCAGGGAGCCTGATATGGGGCTCAATCCCAGGACACCAGGATCATGACCTGAGCCGAAGACAGACGCTTAACCGACTGAGCCCCCCAGATGCCCCTAAGATGATTCCGTTAAATGTGAAAAGAATAATTTTGAGAGAGTATGGAGATAATCTCCTAGGGATACAGAATGGAAGTTTCAAGGCAGAATGAGGTGGCTGGGCAGAGAGGGAGGTATAGAAAAGTCAGAAATGGCTAAGTGTGATCAGCATGCCACTGCTTGAATGCATTTGCTCAAATGCTATCAATTGGTGACCTGTTTGCCTCATCTCTGACAGATAAAACAGTTCCAAGATAAGACTCTACCCAGTAGCTCTGGGTTTTATTTGTTGTTGTCAGTTGGCTTCTTCACTAAAGTGGTGTCCAGAGAGGAGGTCAACATGAACCTAAGTCTGGAGAATTCTAGAAGACTGGGTTGGTATCTAGGGAACCCATGATTAATTCAGCTGTGGGCTTAGGCTCATGAATCCAAACACATTCCTGGTTTCATGTGGACAGCTGATGCTCTGCAGTCCACTCCAGCTTCTGGAATCTCCATGAAGTGCTTACACAAACACCAACCAAAAAGATACTAGGAGAGTTTGGTAAAGAATCCCTATCACTACCATCTCAAAATGTCCCCACAGACCATTAGCAAATCCTAACACCAGAAATGGAATAGAGAGGCAGAAAAGAAGGAAGCATTGGGAATCCTCAGAGGGTGAAATATATCAGCTTAAGTATTAAAGAGGACATGTTGGAGGGGCGCCTGGGTGGTTCAGTGTGTTAAGCGACCGACTCTTGATTTTGGTTCAGGTCATGATCTCAGAGTCTTGGGTTTGAGCTCCGCATGAGCTCCACGTTCAGTGGGGAGTCTGCTTCAGGATTCTCTCTCCCTCTACCCCTCCCCCTGATTCACTCATGCTCTCTCTCTAAAATAAATAGATTTTTTTTTTTTAAAGAAGACATGTGGAAGACAAATCTAGTTCATGTTTTCTTCATTCTTTTCTTTCTTAAGATCTAGTTATTAATTTTATCTCTAAGATAATGCACTCAAGCGGGGGTGGGGGAGGGACAGAGGGAGAGAGAGAATTTTAAGCAGGCTCCATGCTCAGCACAGAGCCCCATTCGGGGCTTGATCTCCCTAAGATCATGGCTTGAGCTGAAATCAAGAGTCGGATGCTTAACCGACTGAGCCACCCAGGTGCCCCTGTTTTTTTCATTCTTGATTCCATTCAGGCTTTACTGCCATTTTTTTTTTTTTTCATTGTCACTGTTACCTTGGGCACAGCAAGGGGAAAAAGTGACAGCTCTGAAAAGTGCATGGTGTCAGGGAGAGTACACCTAGAGACCAAGTGGCCAGAAGCCAAAGGCATCCACTTGCCCCATCCACCAAGGAAACAGCAAGGCCCAGAATGAGAAGCACCGTCCAGAGATACCACTCTTCTGAAGACACAGTCTATACACTTCCAATAAAGGTGCACAGTACAAACTCCTTTCATTTTAGCTAATGGTCACTCAGGGCAAGAAGATGAAAGACATTAAAATCCTAAAAACCCACATATTTGAAGATTAAAAAGAAATCTGCTACATCTTCAGATGTTCTTTATCCAAGTAGAGTTAATGCTACCCGTTCTGAAGAAAAATGCAACTTTACATCCACAAATGATTTTTCCAAACTAAACACGGCATTTGATGGAGTGATTTAAACCAAACTTCCAGAAATATCTTTAGTGAAAACAATTAACAAGCACTTGTGATGGGCTCTCTCTTTGGTCTGGTATCACAAGGGTCGGCCCAGGATATGGAATATAGACAGAAACGATGGCCTTACCTCCTAACTGGAATTTTACCATTTGTGTTGGTCATAAACGCCAATTTCATCCAGCTGGAAAACAACCATAACACTGTTTCAATGTTTCTTAGGAGCAACACTTCAATCCAGTTAAGAACTTTAAAAGAAAGTTCATTCAAACAAAGAACATTTATTCTGAAAACTAGAGACAATAATATACTGTGAGATGAATTTATGGTTGTCAGGTTTAGCAAATATAAATACAGGACTCTCAGTTAAATTTGAATTTCAGAAAAACAATTTTTTTACAAGTATGTTCCAAATACTGCACAGAATATGCTTATACTCAAAAACTATTACTTATCTGAAATTTAAATTTAACTGGGAATTCTGTATTTTTCCCAGCAACCCTAGATGAACTAGAAATTTGGATGTTTGCACTGAGCAAAACAAATTGTAGGTACTTTTTTGGTGATTGGTCTCATCCTTGATTATTGCTCTTTAATAATCTTTACTAAGATGGAAATGCAACTGCACGGTGACACCAGCCAGCCTTGTTCTGAGGACCCACGGGGACCCCCACTCCCTGTTCCCAGTGCAGCAAAGCACAGATCGAATGGGCACCTTCCTTAATTTCCAAGAGGAAGAGAAGTTCATCAACTCAAATTGATGGTAAGCAACTCCTTGCTTTCCCCAGGCTTTCTGGACACACAGGGACGCAGAATATTCATTCGTAGGTGCTGGGATTGTTCCTAGCTATTAACTCACATTCTCATGGATACCAGTCAATAATATTCTAACAATGAACAGAACATGACAATTTGGTAAAGTTTCCGTCTTCTGGCAATCTCCTAGAGGCCCAAGTGACTCCTTTTCAGAGAATGTTTTCAAGACAACAGGTGTGAGGGAAGCAGAAAGGACCAGAACAGTCACACAAAGTTGTGGTCTCTGCTGGTGCTTTAGCCTGATGCCAGGGGGGACTCTGGAGCGTATTGTGCACCAGACTTGGTGGCATGGGGGCTGGCCTTTTATATCCTGTTCCAGCCCATTATGGGCCATGGGCTTCCCACCAGGAAAAGAGAGGAGTGCAGTCTCCCAGGCACAGTGACTCCGCTTTCAGCACAGGGTCATTCTCTGCAGAAGTGGGCAGGTGTGACCTCTTGATGAGTTAACCCTCATGGCAGTTGGTGGATGGGTGAACACCAGCTCCATAAAGGGATCCCAGCAGGACGCCAATGGGGACAGATAAGACCTGGTGTCCACCTACAGATACTGGGGTCCCTCAGGTCTAAGTGGGCATTCTCAAAGTCTCAGATCCTTCGGGATTCTATCAATGCCCAAAGTGGAATGTCAAATATCCATTGTTGCTCTTTATTTCTAAGAAAACATGCCACAGCAACTACAGAGGAAGAGGAGAAGCAGCTGCAGGACAAACGGGTATTTACAAGACTAACCACCCCCTACTAAGGTGACGGAAAGAAAACCAGAGGGCTGGCATAATAATCAAAATCACTAATACTGAATGAAGGAGGAACTGGGCTGGGCGTTTTCCAGGACCTCATTACATCTGTGTGGTAATCTTTAAAATAAGTTCTGGTCACCTTCTCCATTCACAGATTAAGAACAGAAAGGCACGAGGCTAAGAACTTGTCAAGGGTCACCCAAGAACTAAGTGGCCAAGCTGGGACTGTAGTCAAGAGCCTGTTCTCTTCAAGCACCCGCCAAAGGGACCAAAACTAAGGGTGAAACTAGCCAAAGGGCTGACCTCTCTTCCTCCTGCTGGACAGTCCAAGGAATCACACCCTTGGTGCTGGTTGCAAGTGCAGGCTTATTCCTGTAATTTCTCAGCGTAGTTCCCTTCTGCACCTACAATTGCCTGCCAATGGTCCAGGATGGCGGGCAGCCCCCTTCCTGCACCGATTGCTGCTTTTTAAACAGGCTGACTTTGGCTTTGGCTAGGCTTTCTACTTGAGTAACTTTCACGTCACCTTGATGGAATAACTTGGGAAGGGTTAAAAATCTACCACGGCGGCATCCCTCTGGATTTTGGATACTGTGAGCTGGGGTAAGGCCAGTACGTTTGGATCCCTGAATGGGTGCTGAACAGTCCCTGGGGCCAGTGCTCCTTTGTGACCCTAGAAATGGGTGCTTTTGTAAGTGCTTCTCTTGGCCACACTCCCCAGTTTTGTCTCACACAACAGAGGCTCCAGCTACAACAGCACCCAACTATGGCCCCAGGCATGGAGAACTATTGTCTGGGGCCAATGACCCAGAGGATACTGAAGTTCCAGCACCTTCCTGCCATCAATCATTCCTTTCTTATCAGTCTGGGCTACGGGTTGATCACACGTGCCCTGCCAAGTGGCATGAAGAGTCCAGGTGTGTGTCGGGAACTTCCTTTCCAGGGTCAGGAGCATGGAGGGGAAGGCAAGGACAATGTGGCCTGGCAATACACGAAGCCTTCATCTCCTAATCTGACCTTTTGCTTTTTAACAGCCAAGAGCAAAGAGTGATGTAAATAAAACTCACTGTTTCTTGAGGCAGGTCATTGGACTGACATTGTTGGCCCTGAAGTTGTGTATGATTGATCTCAGTCCTTCTACCCATTGCTGAAAGAGAAAGAAAAAGCATTCCTGGTGAGCAACACCACAGGAACTGAAAATGGTGGTTTTTATTAAACAGCCCGTATCCATTCGGTATAAGAATAATGTAAACTCTTCTTTTATCTCCTCCCTGCCACAGAGCAATCTTTGTTTTGCATGCCATACTTTATTCTTTAATAAACAGCTTTCATTCTTTCCATGAAGATAAATGTAACATCTAGAGCATCATTAAACACTGGGTTGTCACAAAGGAACGCTGCCCACTGATTGACTTGTTAAACCTTCTATTTGCAGCCTGTTTAAATAGAAATCCTTTTTCAGCCACTGGCAACCTTCATTATTTCTAAGCAACGTTATACAGTACATGATGACATATTTAGCTATTCCCATTTTAGAGGACGAATGCATTTGGGGTTCATCAATTTTATCGTGTGATTCTATTTCAATCTAAGAAATTTGTCACATATCTTACCTGTCTGTGATTTCCAGCAGAGCCTTAAAAAGTAAAGCATGCACTGATTGCTGGGGTATCCAGTGCAAATACTGAAGCACTTACATAATTTCTGTATAATAAGGACTTGGACCTCAGTTTTAGTTCATAACATCACTCCATGGATTTACAAGGAAAAGTGAAGGAAGACTGTACACGGCAGTAAAGGAATTTGTTTCTCATAAGGACATTCAACTAGAAAAGGCTGGCCCGTCCATTAAGGCCAACTCCTCTGTGCTGAGGAAGGGAAAATATTTGGGCATAGTAGTACAGATGGATAGTCTACCTGCACTGTCCACTAGCCACATGTGGCTGTTTAAACTGAATAAAAGTAAAATTCAGTGCCTCCATTTCACTCATCACATATCAAGTGCTTGAAAGCCGACATGGGGCTAGTGCCTACCACATTGGACAGCCCAGACGAAGAACATCTCCGTTGACACAGAAGGTTATATCGGACAGCCCTGCACAGTATTACCAGGTTTAACGTGGGCTAGTGATTTAGTCATTGCAAGGGCCAAAGGTAAAGACTAAGTTCTGTAAAGTGTGTGTGGTTTTAATTCATTGTGATAAAATGCAAATAACATTAAATTTATCATTGGAACCATTTTTAAGTGAGCAGTTCAAAGGCATTAAGTAATATTCACGTTGTGTGCAACCTTTACCACCATCCATCTCCAGAACTCTTTTCTTCTTGCAAAACTGAAACTCTGTCCCCATTACACAACTCCTCAGTTTCCTCTCCCCCGCCCAACCCTAGCAACCACCATTCTACTTTCTGTCTCTATGAATCTGCCTATCCTAGGTTCTTTATAAAAACAAATCATACAGTATTTGCCCTTTGACAAATTTGACTGGCATAATGTCCTCAAGGCTCAGCCAGATCACAGCCTGTGTCAGAATTTCCTTCTTTTTAAAGGCTGAATAATATTCCCTTGGCTGTGTAGACTACATTTGGCTTCTCCATTCATCTGTTGATGAACACCTGGCTTGCTACTATGATTAATGGCAGCTATTGTGATTGATGCTTCTATGAACATGGGTATACCAGTATCTCTTCAAGTTCCTGCCTTCAATTCTTTGGGGTATATACTCTGAAGCAGAATTACTGGATCCTACAGTAATTCTATTTTTCATTTTTTGAGGAACCACCATTCTGTGACACAGCTGTTATCATTTTACATTCCCACCAACAGTGCACGTGGGTTCCAATTTCTTCAAGTCCTTGTTGACACTTTTTTTTTCCTGCTTTGTTTTCATTTTGAGAATAGTCATCCCAATGGGTAAGAGTCTAATGGACAGTTTTGGCTTTCCTCTTTATGCTCCAGTCATACCTAACAGTTTTCTGAAGGAGGACTTAGGAGCCAGAAGAGGTCAATTTCCTTCCACAACTAGAAAAGGCCATTTCCTGAGGACCATAAATAGCATCGAAAGCCTCGGGATGGTGACGCCAGGATTCTGAGGGAGGAGGAAGGAAGGCACTGGTAGCATTAAAGAAATGCCTTATTTTCATCATCAGCCTTTACTTCCTCTGTCAGGCTAAATATGGGACTATAATTCCCTGGGGACCTTCAAATATCCTGTTGTTGGCCTAACAAACCGCAGGCTCACAAAGTGTTTCCCAAGAGGAGACAGAAAAACATAAATAATTAGGTTGGCATTCACTGGGCAACATTTTCTCAACCTGAAGGCTTGTTCCGTGTTCCAAAACATAAAACAGAGTCCATGGTTTCCTAGGGCAAAAAACTGGGCAATTTCTGAGACTGTTCACTGGCTTTTTCTGAGCATTCTGATTTAGTTGTTCCTAAAAATAAATTACAGAGATACCAGACTTTGAGGAGGCTTCAACAACTCATCCGTCTTTTGAAAATATAATGCTGGTGAAGAATCTTGTTTATTGTGACAGAAAGGTCTCCGGGAGTGACCTCTGAGGTCATCACTCCAGGGACAGTACTCATGCTTTAGTTAGTAGGAAATGCCACTGGAATCCTCACAGGCCCTAAAGGGCCCCGGGGTGGGGGAGGTTGTTGCTGCTTCTCTTTGCGATGATGAGAGTGAGGGTCAAGGGCCTTGCCCAAGATCAGCTGGCTCAGGGCTGAGAGGCTCTGTTGTCTGCCCTTCCTTAAGGCTTGTTCACACGTCTCCCCCCCATGACGTGGACAAGTCCCATCAGGCCTTTCCTTCTCTCCATGGTCTTCCAGGTAATTGACACCTGGCATATTAAGACCAAGAGACTTCAGGAAATATGTTGAGCGTTTCTTTTGCAGTTTCTAACAAAGTAGATGAAATGCCAGCAGGTGACAGCAGAGCCCTAGAGTTTAGCTGAAAAGTTGTACTGTGGGTGAACTAGATGCATATGAACTTCGTTGAATGTTTCCAGACTAACAGAAGGAAAAAAAAAAACACAAAAACCTGTGACTTAAATATGTTTCCTTGAATTGCTGAAAATAAGCACATATGTTAAGAGTCTACATAATGCCCTAAAAGGTACATCTTCAAGCCCAGGGCTGTGTGTTTCTAGAAGGATCACTCCCTGACGCATGTTGAGCACACTCATCGGCTCAATGTTGACACGCTCGTGATAGGATTCTTACCACGCTGGGTGCCTCCCTCTGGTCTGGCCATGCTGAGTGGGCCCATGCAACCAGCCCAAAGGATCCATTGAATTTGGGTGTCCAAATCCGTAGTTTCTCCCTTTCCCCAGCAGGTTGTTCTCTTGATTTCTTAATCTTTTCCAATTCGAACTTAAAGCTTATTTCAGCCCTTCTAAGGTGAAGGACAAGAAAGGTCCTTCCAGGGACTCTTGGGGCTTAGCTGGATGGTTTAGGAGAAGAGGAGGGAAGAAGAGAAGCTGCCTCTGATTTTCTCCTAGGGACTTACAACCTCTCCTCTGGGACTCCTTGTTCTCACCACGCAGGCGGGCGTCCATTTTCCAAGCAAATGGCGTGGCCTTGCCCTTAGCTTTCTCCTTTGCCCCTGGGACACTGGACTGTCATGGACTAAACAATCCCTTTCCCACTGAAAAAAGCAGCAGAAGGGCACAGACATAACAAAACCAAACCAAAAAAATATGAATTCACACAGGGTGTATACCTCCCTTTTTCCCTTTAAAAACATTTGGTAGGGTTTTTTTTTTTAAGTTATGGAAGCAGTATTTAAATGTCCTTTGCAGAAAAATGTAAAGCAAAAAAGTATACAGCAATAAGTGAACATCACCCCAAATCCCATTGCTGACATCAAGAGCTAGCCACTGACAACATTTTGGTATTTGAGCTCTTAGCTTTTTTTTTTTTAATGCACATGTAGCTTTGTCATCCTAAAATAACTAGTCCCATTACTTGCCAGTCAGCACTGCCCCAGGTAGAGTTGTTGTTCTTTTAGCTCAATCTTATCTCTAGATTTTATTCCAGAAGCGTCCTTTTCAGTCTTCAGTCAAAACAGCATGTTGTCAAAGCAAAAAAATAACACAGACCCTGTGATACTCTCCGAGTATGCTATGTCATTTTTTCTCCAAAGGGAAGACTCAGTGGCATCTTCCTTCATCTCTTGGTGTGTGATTCTTTGTTCTTAAAGAGAAGGCTACTGGTAGAAGAGGCAGAGTCATCTTACTAAGTCTGTTCCAAGTTAACTACAGCCTTGTCACGCATAGTCCAGGGACTAGCAGCATCACCTGGGAATTGTTAAAAGGCAAATCAGCAGGCCCTGTCTATGAAATCTGTCTCTAGGGCTGGGGAAGAGAAACCTGTGTTGAAATGAGCTTTCCAAATGGCTCTTTTGCAAATTTACATATAAAGGCACTGTTCTGAACCCATGCCGCTCAGTCAGGAGGTTGGCTCCTAGACCAATAGCATCAACATGTTCGGGTTGCTGGTTAGAACCGCAGACTCTCAGGTCTCATCCCACCCAGACCCACTGGATCAGAATCTTCATTTAATAAGATCCCAAGGTGAGTCGTGTGCACATCCCAGTTTGAGAAGGGTCCTTCCCCCACCTGGAGTATCTACTTCCGTTGCCCACCTAGAAAGATCTGGGTTTGGTTTCCTATGGGAGCCGATAGTTTCCCACAGTGCCCTTGGCTGGGATATCTGGTCTTCTAGTAAGGACCCTGGAAAAAGCTCTCCTCCAGTTCCTGATTTACTTTGTTTTTGTCCTATCCCTCCCTACCTGGGCTGAACAAATCTGCATTCACTAGCATGGAAATGGTGACCTACACACGTGGGTTCAATTGCTTGCATGTGGAAACAAAAGGAAGCAAGGAGTGACTTTCACCTTCCAATGTCCACGCTGTGCAAAGAATCAGCTGATGGGGCCATCTGAGATGTTTAAAATATGGGACCTTCTTGTTACCTGTCACTCATAAACCTGATCCATGCAGAGCTTTTGTTTTTGGTTTTTTGTTTAAGTAAATGGGGATCAGAAAAAAATCAGGGCAGATCTCAGTTGACTATTCTCAAGGTACTTAATTGTTCTAACAGTTAATTAGTTGTCATTTGCTCAAACAACATAAGCCAGGAAT